TCCATTTAATTCCATAGCCTTGTTATATACACGTACAAACTGAATTAAAAAAAAAAAAAAAAAAAAAAAAAAAAATATTATGATAATTATATTCTCCAAGTAATAATATTTTTCTTATGGTGTATTAAATAGAATTATTGTCATTTGTTAGTTGGATATCTATATTTCGAAACTGTAAAGACAAAATTATAAAAATAATAATAGAAATGAATGGAGTAGAAATATTAAGAGAACAATGAACATTATATATATATAAATGTGTATGCTTATTTGTGTGCGTGTATGTACTGTTTACGTGTGACAAGATTCTATTTCTACGACCATTCTGGGCTGTAGAGAAAGGAAATATCCTCCAAGAAAAACACTATTCGTCTCACACAAAACCACTTTTTCCCATTCTTTGCAAAATGTTTCCCCCTTCTCATTTTTTTTTTCTTTTTTTTTTGTTTGTTAACCAGACGTTAAGTTTTTTCTTTACTATGGAAAGTGTGTGTAAGATTATTTTCTCAGAAACATTACCTGATTTGGAATAATGAGAATATAGTTATATTTTATTTTATATGTATATATATATATATATATAGTAAATAAAATGGCAAGTCTGAAATATTTAAGTCTTTAAAAATCGAGTATACACAAGAGTCCGTTTACCATATATAATAAGTGGGCGGTTTTACCATTGGAAAAGGTCGAATGAAATTTTAACTTAAAAATTATATTGAGTGATAAGATTTTTTTTTTGTTTCATTATATATTTCGAAAGAGAATTTTTTTTTGCACAAAAATTTATTTTTTCTAAATTAAAAAATTATTTCGAAAAAAATTTTCTTTATTTTTTTTTTGTCGCAAAACTAATTATTTCCACAAATAAATAAATATTTTGCAAATATATAAAAATATATTTTGAAATAATTCCAAACATTATATATTTGAAAATTTTTTTAGCGCAAAAATAAAATTTTTTTTTCAAAATTAAAAAAATATTTCTCGAGAAAGAATAACTACAATATTTTTTTTGTTGCAAAAAACATTTTAATTAAAAAACAATTTGTTTTTCAATTTAAAAAAAGAAAATATTGGACTAATTTTTATATTTGTCCGAGATTTTTCTATTTTTTTAAAAAATTTTTTAATAAATAAAAAATAATTTTTTTATTTTCTGAAAATTTAATCACAGTGAGATATTTTTTGTTAACTCAATTTTAAATTCAATGAAATTCTAATATGAAACCTTGATTTTTTGTTGTTTTCTTTTCAGTTTTTTTTTTCTTTTCAAAAACGCCACGCATTCTGACTTTTATAATATTATGTTTATATTATCCATGAGGTGGGCGATAGTTCGTCGACAGCAAATTCTCAACATCCAATCGATTAATTTATATAAATATATATATACATATATAAATGTAATATTACTGAGACATTATTGTGATTATTATTTTCTTGTCTTCGTCTTTATATATTTTTTTAGACTTTAAAAATGATAAATAATATATGTTCGAGGTATATCCTCAAATTTTCGACGTTAACGAGAAAAAAAAAGTCAGTAGGTGTATTAATCAGTCTCAAAATAAGACATATTTTTATTTTCATTTAAATTCCGGTTTGCAACAGGATTATTATGGTGTCAATGTAAATGATTTTTGATACGCATTAATAAAAATTTTCTTTATCAATAATTTTAAAATAAACTTTCTATGTTTATTTATTTATTTATTATGTTACAGAATTTTCAAATATCGGAATATTCACTTCATAGAAATTTTATTTGACCGAATTTTTATTTGCCAGAATTTGTTTTTTTCATTTTTTTTATATATTTTATTACATTATTTTATAATCATATTTATAAGGAATTTTCCGAATTACATGGAATTAATTTTAAAAAATATGGAATTTCCCGAATTAAATGGAATTAATTAAAAACTTAGAAAACTTAACGAATTAAGTGGAATTAATTTTAAGAACTATGAAATTTTCCCGAATTAAATTGAATTAATTAAAAACATGTAAAACTTACCGAATTAAATGGAATTAATTTTAAAAAATAAGGACTTTTCCCGAATTAATTGGAATAATTTTAAGAACTATGAAATTTTTCCAAATTAATTGGAATTAATTAAAAAAAATTTAATTTCCCGAATTAAATAGAATTAATTTTAAGAACTATGAAATTTTCCCGAATTAAATGGAATTAATTTAAAAAATATGTAATTTCCCGAATTAAATTGGATTAATTAAAAACATAGAAAACTTATAGAATTAAATGGAACTAATTTTAAAAAATAAGGACTTTTCCCGAAGTAAATGAAATTAATTAAAAACATAGAAAACTTACCGAATTAATTGGAATTAATTTTAAGAACTATGAAATTTTCCCGAATTAAATAAAAATTAATTGAAGAAATATGTAATTTCCCGAATTAAATGTAAGTAATTTTAAAAAATATGTAATTGCCCTAATTAAATGGAATTAATTTTAAAAAGTTCGTAATTTCCCGAATTAAATGGAATTAATTTTTAAAAAATATGGAATTTCCCTAATTAAATGGAATAAATTTTAAAAAATATGAAATTTGCCGAATTAAATGGAATTAATTAAAAACATAGAAAATTTCCCGAATTAAATGTAATTAATTTTAAAAAATATGTAATTACCCTAATTAAATGGAATTAGTTTTAAAAAATACGTAATTTCCTGAATTAAATGGAATTATTTTTTTAAAAAATAAGGAATTTCTCGAATTAAATGGAATTCATTTTAAAAAATGTGGAATTTCCCGAATTAAATGGAATAAATTTTAAAAAATATGGAATTCGCCGAATTAAGTGGAATAGATTTCAAAAAATATGGAATTCGCCGAATTAAATGGAATTAATTTTTTTTTAAATAAGGAATTTCCCGAATTAAGTGGAATAAATTTTAAAAAAATATGGAATTCGCCTAATGAAATGGAATTAATTTTTCAAAAAATAGAAAATTTCCCCAATTAAATGGAATTAATTTTTTTCTAAATTTAATTTCTCCCTTTTTGAATCAGCTATTTTGTAGTTTTAGTGAATTTTGCAAAAAAAAAATCTCACCTCATTGCTAATGGGAAAAAAAAGAAATAAGAAAGAAAATTGATGAAGGCCATTTGCAGTAGTTGGTAAAAAGAAAAAAAAAAAGTAAAATTGGGATGAGATGTGTCGTGGCCACTTGAGAAGCTGCAGTGCGGTTTCAAGGCATTAGAGTAAGGAGGTCCTTCATTTTTTTTTTTTCTTGTCTCGTTAGGAAGGTGGCATCTCTCTCACTTGTGGATATAAAGAAGTGGAGAAACGCGAAATTTGTGTGGGTGTTAAGAGGTTGTGACTGTGATGGAGATATTTAGGTTTTGTTTCATATATATATAAAAAGCGAATAGTAGTAGTTATCACATAGACATATATACATGTTTAGTGCCTGACTCGATACGTGGGCTGATGATGCCTGTAAGGTCTCGTTCATATTTTTCTTATAACTACTGGTGTACAATATAAGTTGACATTATAGGAAAAAGAATTCGTTTAGAATCATCGTTTGGTTATAAGAATGTCACATTTTTTTCATATTTTTTTTTTTAATAAAGTTTCGACCTCGAATTATGACACAAGAGAAGGAAATCGAAGAGGAATCAATAATTTTTGATTTAGATATTTATCTTTGGTTACTCAATATATATATAAACTAAATAAAAAAATTTCCTTATTTTCAGTTTTTTCGATATTCATTCTTCTAATATTCTTTCTTTCGATATTTATTTTTTTTTTATTTCCACTATTTTTTGATATTAATTTTGAATTATTTTCATAATTATTCGATTTTCATTTTTACCGAAATTGCAAATGACCGAAAAAACATAACCAACAAAAAGATTACGACGGGATTTTTAAAATTGTCCAATCACAATTTTTTTTTTTGATAACTTCTGATTGGTCAATTTTTCAAAATACCAGCTAACTTATTTAGTTTCTATTCATTTTCTATTTTTGTTATAATCTTTAATTTTGTCTTTATTTTAATTTATTTATATAAATTTGATTTAATAATTACGAGCCGAATTTTTTTTTTTGTTGGTTATGTTTATATAATCATTACGCATGCGTCGCATTATTTGGCGCGAATTTGCGTCATTTGCAATTTCGGATAAATGAAAATTCTGTGTGTTTTAAAAATTCATACAAATAAAAATTTGGACAAATAAAAATTCGGACAAATAAAAATTCGGACAAATAAAAATTCGGTAAATAAAAATTCGGTAAATAAAAATTTGTATAAATAAAAATTTCTTTTATGAATTCAGTTAAATAAAAAATTTTAAATACGAAAATTCAGTTCAATTTGAAATTTTAATTCAGGCCAATGGAAATTATGAAAAATCCAATGCATAAAAAGGTTAACATTTTCTTTTTCATTACTAAGGTCAAATCGATTTTATCTCTCTGTGACGGTATAAAAATAGTTATTGTACATTTTTTTCTGTTTAAAGTAAAATGTTCATAATTCTTGAGCCCTGGTATATATATATATGTATATATATGTGTGTGTGAAATTTTTTGATCTAAATTTAACATCTCGACGACCTAACTGACAATGCTTCATCCCATAATTGCTCATCCTCCGTGTGAATTGTGTGAAAGTATAAGCAAAGTATTACGTAACATATATATATCTTTGTGTGTTGCCATCGAGTTGAAATCAGTCGGTTAACTTGGTGTGTTCAAACTTGCAGAAAGAGAGAAAAAGAGACAAGGGACCTGCGCTCTCTCATGCTAAAGGAGAGAGTGAAGGGAAGGGAAGGAATATGAATTGTGCAATGAATACCTACTGCAGCGTTACATCGCATTAGCCTTCGGACATAAACCCATTTTCTTGTTTTAATCAGCCTAATGCTCTTACTCTTTCCCTCCTAAACCTAAAATTTTGTTAATTTAATATCTAATAAAATAATGATAACAATATTTCATTTTTTTTGTTTCAGATACTTTCCGAAGAATCTCCTGTGCCATAAAAAAACTGCCTTCCAAAAAAAGAAGAAATTCCGTCATCAGATTTTAGTTTTAGCAGAATTTCCATAGCTAAGAAACTATAGTGATTCCAATTTTCTCCATATCCGCTCAAACATGAAGGAATAAATTTGCGGAAAATGAAACTCATTTTAAAATTTCGGGTCCGCAAATGGCCTGAGCAATGCTGACAAAAAATTTTGATTTCTTCCTCAATTGACAATCAAGAAAAAACATTTGGGATTCCAACGGATTTGATCCTGGATCCATTAGATCAAAAAATTGTGGATTATCCTTCCAAATTGGAAAATAATTCATCGCAATTAAATATGGCAGCCACGGCAAAACGTGATCATAGAAGAAAATTCACCGCCGAGACATCATCAGGTGAAGAGGATATTGCCGCAATTGCAAAACAAATAAGCGATCATGCCGAGGCAATTTATCAAACATGGAAAAGTCGTGGACTTGCACCAACGGAAATTTTAAATTGTCACAATAATGCCGCGGCTGCTGATAAATTTGGCAGTGCACTATCGCCAATTTCACCATCAGCCAATAAATTAAATGTCATCGATGGTGTTGTTGATTCATCACCTGAATTAGATAATAATAATCTTGAAAAATTGGTGAATAATTTCGTTGAAGAAGATAAGGCACGCGTTGCAGCGCGTCAACGTTCGCCTGGTAAAAATTTACCCTCATCAATTCAATTTGCATTACAAAAATTTGAACGTAATTCCATTCAACAATCAAAATCAATAAAATCATTAAACACTGAAAATCTCCATAAATCCAAATCACCATCATCAATTATACAAATAGCAAAATTAAATCTCTCTAATAATGTTAAAGAAATTGAAAAACCCAATAATTTAGTGAATAAATTTTCCGACGATTCCTCAAGTTTAAATACATGGCCATTGAAGAATAAAATTTTTAACGATATGAGTACAACAAAAATGCGTAATCAAAAAAAAATTTCAATCGATAAAGATAATTCAATTTATCTCAAGGAAGTTGCACGCGAGGAAAAAAGGCTCATTGATGCCCTAAAGACTGGTACATTAATTGCCGATGAAACGGATTCAATTCTTCATTCAAATTCTATTTCTAATTCTTATTCAATGATTAATGAAAAAACAATGAAATCATCAGATGATGTTGATAATTTGTCAAAAATGTCTCTAGTCGATTATGCAAAGATTCGTTATTGTGCCGCACAAAATCAACAACCAAAGCAAAAACAAGAAAATGAAGAAATTAATTCACCTGAACAACATGTTTCAATAACAAGAAGTAAATTTGAGCCTGAATTACAGAAATGTTCAAAAATTGATGATACCAAAGATGAACGTGATTTGGTGCATACAAGATGGGGTGTTAAAGTTAATGCCACAAGGCCAAGACTTGAACAAGTTCCACATCCTGAATTGACAATGCAACAGAAACAACATATTAGAGCAACGGGAAGTGGAGGAACGGGAAATAATCCTGTGAGACCATTTTTAACGAGGGGTTCAGTGGCTGAGAGGGTTCTTATATTTGAAAAATGTCCCAGTGAATTATTACTTGATAAAAGAGGTCCCAGACAAACGGGTGTTAATAATACGAGGGCAAATCATGACGTTAACAACAAAACACAGGTAAAATTCAATTTAAATTACTTTTTAATTGTTTTTCAATTATTACTTCTATTTGGAAATAGAATTAAAAGGAATTAATTTTATTTAATACAGTATAGAATACATTTTATAAATTTTTAATTCCAAATATTTTCTTTAGGTAAAGTATTAAAAAATATAAACGACATGAAATGTATCAAATTTTATGTGAGAATTTTTCCGAATTAAGTAGAATTAATTTGTTTTAAATCTTCATAAAATATACGTAAAGAATATATTTAAAAAATTTTAATACCAAATAATTTCTTTAGATAAAATATAAAAAATATAAACGATATTTAAATTTGTAAAATTATGTAGAGAAAATTTTCCCGAATTAAAAAGAATTAATTTCTTCTAATTCCGTATAGAATATATAAATATGTATATATATACAATTACAAACAGTTTCGTTAGATAAAGTATAAAAAATATAGACGATATTTAAATTCGTAAAATTATATAAAAAGGGAATTTTCCCGAATTAAAAGGAATTATTTTCTTCAAATACGGTATAGAATATATTTTTACATTTTTAATTTCAAATATTTCCTTCTGGTAAAATATAAAAAATATAAACGATATTTAAAATCGTAAAATTATAAAAAGAGGGAATTTTCCCGAATTAAAAGGAATTATTTTTTTAAAAATCTGTAAAGAATAGGTTTTCCTTGTTAATTTTTAATTCCAAATATGTATTTTTCTTTAGATAAAGTATAAAAATTATAAATGATATTTAAATATTTAATTTAAATTAATTTTAATTAATTTCCTTTAAATAAAGTATAAAAAGTATTAATGATATTTAAATTCTGAAAATTATTATATAAAGAGGGAATTTTCCCGAATTAAAAGGAATTATTTTCTTCAAATACGGTATAGAATATATTTTTTCATTTTTAATTTCAAATATTTCCTTCTGGTAAAGTATAAAAAATATAAACCATATTGAAATTCGTAAAATTATAAAAAGAGGGAATTTTCCCGAATTAAAAGGAATTATTTTCTTTTAATTCCGTATAGAATATATTTTGTAAAATTTTAATTCCAAATAATTTCTTTAGAAAATGTATAAAATATATAAACGACAATTTAATTTATCAAATTATATGAGAGAATTTTCCCGAATTAAAAGAAATTAATTTATTTCAATTCTGCAAATATAGAATATACGTAAAGAATAGTTATTTTTTTAATTTTGAATTCCAAATAATTTATTTAGATAAAGTATAAAAAATAAAAAAGATATTTATATTCGTAAAATTATTATACAAAGGGAAAATTTTCCCACAAATTAAAAGAAATTAATTTCCTCTAATACGGTATAGAATAAATTTTTGATTCCAAATATTTTCTTTAGGTAAAGTATTAAAAAATATAAACGACACGAAATGTATCAAATTTTATGAGGGAATTTTTCCGAATTAAGTAAAATTAATTTGTTTTAATTCTGCAAAGATAGAATATACGTAAAGAATATATTTAAAAAAATTTTAATACCAAATAATTTCTTTAGATAAAATATAAAAAATATAAACGATATTTAAATTCGTAAAATTATATAAAAAGGGAATTTTCCCGAATTAAAAGGAATTATTTTCTTCATATACGGTATAGAATATATTTTTACATTTTTAATTTCAAATTTTTTCTTTCTGGTAAAGTATAAAAAATATAAACGATATTTAAATTCGTAAAATTATAAAAAGAGGGAATTTTCCCGAATTAAAAGGAATTATTTTTTTTTTAAATCTGTAAAGAATATGTTTTCCTTGTTAATTTTTAATTCCAAATATGTAATTTTCTTTTAGATAAAGTATAAAAATTATAAATGATATTTAAATTCGTAAAATTATTATATAAAGAGGAAAATTTCGCAAATTGAAAGGAATTAATTTCTTTTAATTCCATATAGAAAACATTTTTTTTTGTAAATTTTTAATTTCCAATAAATCTTTTAGAAAAAGGTATAAACAATATAGACGATATTTAAATTCTTAAAATTATATGAGGACTTAATTTTCCCGAATTAAAAGGAATTAATTTCTTCTAATTCCGTATAGAATATATTTTTTTTTGTAAATTTTTAATTCCAAAAATGTAATTTCCTTTAGATAAAGTATAAAAAGTATTAATTATATTTAAATTCGTAAAATTATATAAAGTGGAAATTTTCCCGAATTATAAGAAATTAATTTCTTTTAATTCCGTAAAGAAAATATTTTTTTGTTGTAAATTTTTAATTACAAATATGTAATTTCATTTTAATTAAAGTATAAAAATTAAAAATGCTATTTAAATTCTTAAAATTATTATATAAAGAGGGTATTTTCCCGAATTAAAAGGAATTATTTTCTTTTAATTCCGTATAGAATATATTTTGTATAATTTTAATTCCAAATAATTTCTTTAGAAAATGTATAAAATATATAAACGAAATTTTAATTTATCAAATTATATGAGGGAATTTTTCCGAATTAAAAGGAATTAATTTATTTTAATTCTGCAAATATAGAATATACGTAAAGAATAGTTATTTTTTAAATTTTCAATTCCAAATAATTTATTTAGATAGAGTATAAAAAATCAAAAAAGATATTTATATTCGTAAAATTATTATATAAAAGGAAAATTTTCCCAAATTAAAAGAAATTAATTTCCTCTAATACGGTATAGAATAAATTTTTGATTCCAAATATTTTTTTTAGGTAAAGTATTAAAAAATATAAACGACACGAAATGTATGAAATTTTATGAGGGAATTTTTCCGAATTAAGTAGAATTAATTTGTTTTAATTCTGCAAAGATAGAATATACGTAAAGAATATATTTAAAAAAATTTTAATACCAAATAATTTCTTTAGATAAAATATAAAAAATATAAACGATATTTAAATTCGTAAAATTATATAAAAAGGGAATTTTCCCGAATTAAAAGGAATTATTTTCTTCATATACAGTATAGAATATATTTTTACATTTTTAATTTCAAATTTTTTCTTTCTGGTAAAGTATAAAAAATATAAACGATATTTAAATTCGTAAAATTATAAAAAGAGGGAATTTTCCCAAATTAAAAGGAATTATTTTTTTTTAAATCTGTAAAGAATATGTTTTCCTTGTTAATTTTTAATTCCAAATATGTAATTTCCTTTAGATAAAGTATAAAAATTATAAATGATATTTAAATTCGTAAAATTATTATATAAAGAGGAAAATTTGCCAAATTGAAAGGAATTAATTTCATTTAATTCCATATAGAAAACATTTTTTTTTTGTAAATTTTTAATTTCCAATAAATCTTTTAGAAAAAGGTATAAACATAAACAATATAGACGATATTTAAATTCTTAAAATTATATGAGGACTTAATTTTCCCGAATTAAAAGGAATTAATTTCTTCTAATTCCGTATAGAATATATTTTTTTTTGTAAATTTTTAATTCCAAAAATGTAATTTCCTTTAGATAAAGTATAAAAAGTATTAATTATATTTTAATTCGTAAAATTATATAAAGTGGGAATTTTCCCGAATTAAATGGAATTAATTTCTCTTAATTCGATTTTATTTCAGCCTTTTGTGTTTCTTTATTTGCTTTTAATACCACAGGCAGAAAAATAAATTTAATACGACTATAGATTTAGATTTTTTTTTAATTCCTTTTATTTTCTTTTTAATTTCATTTCGAAATTTTATTTTTTGTGAAATTATTTCTATAAGATTAAGCAATTTTTAAGAATAAATTTAATGTTTCTTATAAAAATAATTCATCATTAAAATTAATTATTTTTAATTCGTTATATTTTTTTCTATTACATTTCTTAATATTATTAGATATTTGCTTTTATATAAAAATTTTGAAGAATAAAAATTAATTAAATTTTAATTAAAAAATAATTAGGTAATTTATTAAAATAAATTTTAATATTTTTTTCTAAAAGTAATAAATTAATATTTTATTTTGAAATTATTTCAAATTTAAATTAACCTGAATTTTTATAAACTTGACCGCCTTTTTCTTCTCTACTATCTTGTTTCCATTTATTAAAAAAAAAATTTCTTAGATAATTATAGTTTCTAATAAAAATTATAAAAAATTCTTATTGGAATATATGAAGTGAAAATAAATATTAAATGTTGAAACTTATATTGTTTTTTTTTTATCAAAAAAAGAATTATAATTAAATTAACTTTTAAGTTACATACAAATATATCGATATCTTATTGATTTCTTTAATTGCTTACCGCAAGGTGGTGTATATATCTTATTATACTCGTGTTACATCTCAAAAGGTAACCAATAATATTTCTGGTAGCGGTTGTCTATTCTAAAATAAGATATCAATATGTATAGGTATATTTTAAATGCTTTTACACAAATTTGTAACCACAAAGAAATTCAAGCTATATATAGAAAATTTTAAATATTAGAAAATAGCAATTTTTTTTTCTTTTCTATAGTAATTTCCTCTCATTTTCAATTTCAAATTATTATATTGACAGAGAAAATTCACTAAATTCCTTATCATCGTAGAGAAAGCAGCTAGTATAAATAAATTATATAACAGGGTGGCCACAAAGTTAGGAAAATTTGATAATTTGTGAAAAGTTTTTTTTTTTTTTATCAGAAAAAGGTTAAGAAAAGTTTGATCGTTTGAACTGGAATTTTTAATTACTTGCTCCCTAAATTAATGTTAAAAACTTTTCTCATAGAAACGTTTGCATTTCAAATTTTATTCTCGTCATATACTCTTCTTCTCAACATTACGGTAAAAAGGCTTAAATTAGACAGAATTAAAATAACCTCATTTTCTAAAATTTTTTAAATTATTTTATTTAATACGGGAAATTTTCTTTTATTTCTAAAATGTAGCTTCAAAGTGAAAAGAATTTTGGAAAAAAAAATAATTATTTTTTAAGTCGAAAATTGTATTCTATTTGTAGAATATATTTTGTAAATTTTTAATTCCAAATAATTCCATTAGATATTAAAATAAATAAACGACATTTAATTATTTTAATTTTCAATTCCAAATAATTTATTTAGATAAAGTATAAAAAATAAAAAAGATATTTATATTTGTAAAATTATTATATAAAGGGAAAATTTTCCCAAATTAAAAGGAATTAATTTCCTCTAATACGGTATAGAATAAATTTTTGATTCCAAATATTTTCTTTAGGTAAAGTATTAAAAAATATAAACGACACGAAATGTATCAAATTTTATGAGGGAATTTTTCCGAATTTAAGTAGAATTAATTTGTTTTAATTCTACAAAGATAGAATATACGTAAAGAATATATTTAAAAAATTTTAATATGAAATAATTTCTTTAGATAAAATATAAAAAATATAAACGATATTTAAATTCGTAAAATTATAAAAAGAGGGAATTTTCCCGAATTAAAAGAAATTATTTTCTTCAAATACGGTATAGAATATATTTTGTAAATTTTAAATTCTAAATAATTTCTTTAGATAAAATATAAAAAATATAAATTATATTTAAATTCATAAAAGTATCTAAAGAGGAAATTTTCCCGAATTTAGAGGAATTAATTTTTTTTTAATTCCGCATAAAATATATTTTGTAAATTTTTAAATACAAATAATTTCTTTAGATAAAGTATAAAAATATAGATGATAATTAATTTTTGGTAAAATTATCTAAAAATTGAATTTTCCGGAATTAGAAGAAATTAATTTTTTTTAATTACGTATAGAATATAGTTTTTAAATTTTTAATTTCAAAATTATTTACTTCATATATAAAAAATAAAAACGATATTTAAATTTGTAAAATTGTATAATGGAGGAATTTTTCCGAATTAAATGGAATTGTTTTTAAATTGATTTGAAAATATAAATAAAATTCGGGAATTTTTCACTATAGTGGCCGCCCTAAATTAAAAATATTAAAAAAAAAAATTCACATGTCGATAATAAAAATAGGTACGAAAATAAATACACGAAAATAAAAATAATTGATTAAAATATCTCGACATTTGAATTGAAAATTTATATTTTTTATTCAAATTAATGATTAATTAATTCTATTAATCAATTGATTAATCGATATTTGCATTTCGAAATTGAAAATTAATAATTTTGTTAAAAATTACTTTATATAATGAATTATTAATCAATTGATTAATGTAAATAAATAATTCTTTTATTACAAAAAAAAAAAATTATTTCAAATTTATAAATTCAAATTTAATTTAAAATTTAATCGCGTTAAAATGTCTTATATAGTTGCATATAATAAATCTTGATGTAAAAATGAAATTTTACTAATTAGATTTAAAATTCTAATTTTAGTCGTACGTCCGTGAGAAGCAGAAGAAAAATCTTCCACCTCATACAACATTACAGAGACACGTTAAGGCAAATAAAAATGTGGACATACCGCGGTAAATATTACATTTTTTTTTCAAATTATAATTTATTACTTAAACTTGAGATGCATAAATAAACAATATAAAATTCATTAATTTCTAATTTTTATTTAAAAAAAAATTGCAATAGACAGAATTTTCTTTTAGTCAAAATTTTCACTTCAGATTCAGAAATTCAGAAATTTTTACTAAACGAATTTTTTAGGTAAGAAAATTTTTAGGTTACTTAATTTTTATTTAAGAATATTTTCATTCAATAGAATTCTAATTTAATCGAATTTTAATTTCTGCAGTGTTCTCATTTAACAGAATTTTAAATAACTCGAATTTTTAAATTGAAACAACTAAATCTTTCAAAATTTAGTAAAATTAATTTTCATTTTTTCAATTTAAAAATTTTTTCTTTTTATTCGGTGATAAAATTAATTTTTAGTTTGAGGTTATGTCAAGAAATTGAATCTCCTTGAAACGCTGATTTTTCATTTGACCGAAATGATAAATACCCGAAGAAATAATTGACAGAAAGAATTTGTCGTGAATTTTAAAATTGACCAATCACAATTTTCTTAATAATTTCTGATTGGTTAATTTTAAAAATCACGCCAAAATGTTTCGAGTACTTGTAATTTCGGTCAAATGAAAATTCGACAGTTACAAAACTGTCGGAAAAAAATTTGACTCACTTAAAATTCTGTTAAATGAAAATTCAATTAAATTATGGAATTAATTTCAAATAAAAAATTGGGTAAAAAGAAATTTTGTAAAATAAAAATTTGATATCTAAAAATTTTTTATTAAGAAAATTCAGCTAAAAAGAAAATTCTATCTATTGAAAATTTTGTGAAATGAAAATTGTAATTTTAATGAATTTTATTGGATATTCATATGAGCTTCTTAAATTTGAATTAATGATTATGTATTCTTGAAAATGTTGTGTATACTTTTTTAGATTTTATTTTCCCGAGGGAAAACCTGTGGCTCTCTCGCAAGTGGAGGCAACAGTGGCTCGTATCGCGGCCGCGTTTCAAGTTCTTCCAGGTCAACGAGCATCTCGTTCTCAGTTCCACATCATTGCTAAGGTAAGCTTTGTTAAAAATAAAAAAAAAAGGGTCAGAATTTCTCAAACGGATCACCTAGAATTATACAATTTAATTTTCAATGTTAAATCAATTTTTTTTTTTTTCATTCTTAGTGTGACCAAAAAAAAAAACTTTCTGAAACTGAAACTTTGGAACAATTTTTTTTTAAGGCTGAAAAAATTTTAAATTGTTAATAATTATAAAATAAAAAAATTTTGTTAGTCTCTATTAATTTCAAAAACTTATTTAAAATAATAAAAATAATAATAATAATAATAATAATAATAATAATAATAATAATAGTAGTAAAAATAAATTTACGTTGAAAGTTAATTAATTTTGGAAAAATTTTAGGTGATCCGTTCGTAGAAAAAAAAAATGTTGACACGAAAGAAAAAAAAATTAACAAAAGCGAATAATTTTCAACAAGGAAGAATTAAATTTTTCATGAAAAGCCAAACGCAAGCTTTTATCTTGTACTCTACAATTATTCATTATTTTTTTACAGGCTTGTGATTTGCCCCTTTATTGGAAAGTTCCTCTGTTCCTTGCAGCTAGAGGCGATCAAACAGGCTTCGTCGAAATGAATGCTTTCCTCGAATTTTGGAAAGAGTGAGTATATCTTTTTAAAAAATCATTTTCATTTAATTTTTCAATTTAGCAAAATTTAACCGAATATCAATTTAGCAGAATTTCTTATTCAACAGAATTTTAAGTAATTCGAATTTTTAAATGCCAAAATTTCGAAATCACCGAATTTTTATTCACACGAATTGTTATTTGATAGAATTTTTGAAACGCCGAATTTTCATTTGTCCGAAATTGCAAATGACCGAATAAACATAACCAACAAAAAGATTTCAGCGCCATTTTTAAAATTAACCAATCAGAAGTTATCAAGAAAATTGTGATTGAATAAGTTTAAAAATCGCGCCGAATTCCTTTTTTATATGCAAAAGTCGAGTTATTTACGCCTAAACAAATAAATTTTATAATTAAATTAAATTAAAATTTTTTTTTAAATTCAGACTGACGAATAAGCATCACGATACGGCGAGTAAATTTGTCAGGATCACGACAAAAGGATTAAGAGACAGTATTTTGCCAGAAGACTTAATTCCATTGGTGCAGGATGTTGTCGAGACACATCCGGGTTTAACGTTTCTCAAGGAGGCAATTGAATTTCATTCTCGATACGTTCACACTGTAATTGCAAGGATATTTTATTGTGTTAATCGGAGTTGGAGCGGGAAAATTTCTGTTGCCGAATTGAGAAGAAGTAATTTACTCTCAGTGATTAGTGTTCTTGAACATGGCGAAGACATTAATCTTGTCACAGCTTATTTCAGTTACGAACATTTTTACGTCATTTATTGCAAATTTTGGGAACTTGATCGTGATCACGATCTTTTTATTGATAAAATGGATCTTATGAGGCACAATGATCATGGTAAGGATATTCTCATTTGAACAATAATAATAATAATAATAAGCAAAATTATTTCTATTTAAATAATTGAATAGAAAAAAAATTAATTTTATAATTTATTTAATTTATTTTTAACCTTTAAACTGCATTAGCGGTCTGAGAGACCGCTATCTTAGGCCTCGGATTTAACAAATTTTTAACTAAAATTTTTCTCTAAATTAATTATTTTTAATAATTTTAATGAAATTTTTCACAAATTCAATTATCTTAAATTATTTTTCAATTAAAATTTTAGAAAATCAACAATTATATAATAATAAAATGCTTGGTCTGTCCTATCCTAACTTGAAGTTGGCCTTTTCTGATTTCACGTGTTTTTTTTTTTGAATAGTAATCTTATGACGTGTCAAATTTTGACAATTCTTTTTCTCATTTTTGCCAAAGTTGTATAATTGTGTTTCCAAATTTGGGAATAAGTTTCTTCAAAATTCCAAATTCGAAAATTCAATTCATGAAGCTGAAGTACACAACGTTTACCAACGAAATTTTTTTTAAACTTGTATATTGATTCAAAAATTGTACAAAAAATTTATGATGAGAAAAAAGATGCGCCAGGAAATTTCGTACAAGATAGAAATTTGAAAAAAATTTATTTTTAAGGTACCAGGGGCCAACGAATACCTATTAAATATTAATTATAAAAACACAGGCCTCGAATCAGCTTAAAGACACAAAAAGTCGTTTTATAAAAACTATAAATAAATAACTATAAACTATAAACTAAAATTCAATTATTACCCGAAATTTTAATTCAAAATCAATTCAAAATCCAATAATTATCCAAAATTTTCAATTTAAAATGAAATAAAATTCAATTATTTTCTAAAATTTCTATTCAAAATTAATTATCCAAATTTTCAATCAAAAATGAACTTAAATTAAATTATTATCCAAAATTTGAATTAAAATTCAATTATTTCCCAAAATTTTCAATTCAAAATGAATTGAAATTCAATTATTTTCCAAATTTAAAACCAAATAAAATTTAATTGTTCTCAAAAATTTTAATTCAAAATTAATTGAATTTTCAATAATTTGAATTTAAAATTTGGAATTTCCAAAAAAAAGTCGATTTGTTTTTTATGTTAACAAAAATATTTCAGATTTTTAAATAAAAATTTTTTTTTTAATAATAATCCTTTTCGAAGGGTTAAAGTTGATATTTTTAGAAATAATTAAATTTCAAAAGATATTGTTAATTTTCAAACAATTATTAAATTTTATAGAACTAAAAATAATTTATCAAACAATTTTTGGAAAACATTTTTTAAATTTAATTGAATTTTCAAAGATTTAAAATTGAGATTTTTGAAATTAATTGAAACTTTAAGTAATTTTTAATTAAAATTTTAGATGATTTCACTAAAAATTACAATAATACAATAATTTGAAAATCATTTTTAATTGAAAAATGGTTTCAGATAGTTGAAATTTCAAAGAATATTATTAAAATAGTTAAAAATAATTGAATTTTGAAAAAATTTATTTTTATAATGAGTTATAATTGAAATTATTAAATTTCAAAAAAAAAATTTTCGATGGAAAATTTTAGAAATATTTAATTTTGAATTCAAATTTTTGAGAATAATTAAATTTTATTTAATTTTAAATTTGGAAAATAATTGAATTTCAGTTCATTTTGAATTGAAAATTTTGGAAAATAATTGAATTTTAATTGAAATTTTGGATAATAATTTAATTGAAGTTCATTTTTGATTGTAAATTTGGATAATTAATTTTGAATAGAAATTTTAGAAAATAATTGAATTTTATTTCATTTTAAATTGAAAACTTGGTAAATAATTAAATTTTAAATTGAAAATTTTGGATAATTATTGGATTTTGAATTGATTTTGAATTAAAATTTCGGGTAATAATTGAATTTTAGTTTATTTTGAATTGAAATTTTTAAAAAATAATTCAATTTTATTGTGATATTTTTTTTTTAAATTTTAAACAATTGTTAAATTTCATAAAAATTTTAATTGAAAAATAATTTTGATATAATTGAATTTGAGATGTATTTCATTAAAATTATTAAAAATAATTAATTTAGTGAAGAATCAATTTAGTTCAAAATTTGTTAAATAATTGAATTGGAGAAGATCTGAAGAAGATCTACATTTTATACTAAAAAATGTATTTTATTTACATTTTTTTTCAAATGTAAATAAAAAATATCGCATTTTATTAAAATAAGTCGATAAAAGTCGTATTTTATTAAAATAAGTCGATAAAAGTCGTATTTTTGAAAAAAGTCGAAAAAAGTCGTATAATCCGAGGCCTGTAAACATATAATTTTCATTATTATCATTTAATATGTAATAATATTCTAATAAATTAAATTATTATTGATAATATTAATCTTTAATTTCTTTATAACAAACAATTAAATACTCAATTTGGCGCGCTTGCCCGCGTTTAATTTTGCTAGTTGTTTATAATTTAAAAACAAATCAAATAAAAATAAAAAAAATTTTAATATCAAACTTTTTATAATTTAATTATTTTAAAAATTTTCCATCTAAATATTCTTGAAATTTAATAATTTCAATTATATCTCTTTCGAAATTCAATTATTTTTAATGATTTTTATAATATTCTTCTGAAATTCAATTATTTGAAAGCATTTATCAATTAAAAAATTTTTAAATTCAATTTTTGTCTAATTTTTAATCAAATTCTTCAGCTAGAAAAATTACTAAAAAATTATAATTAAAAATCACTTAAATTCAATTATTTTCAAAAATTTCAATTTACAACCTTCTAAAATTTAATTATTTCTAAAAATGTCAACTGTAATTATTATTTGAAAGCATTTTTCAATTAAAAACTTTTGAAATTCAATTTTTGTCTATAATTTCTAATAAATTCTTCATCACAAAAATTTTTAATTTAAAATCACAAATTCAATTAATATCAAAAATCTGAATTCTAAATCTTTAAATATTCAATTACTTTTAAAAAATGTTATTTTAAATAATTTGATAAATTATTTGCAATTCTGTAAAATTTAATTATTGTCTGTTTAATTATTATTTCTAAAAATTTCAACTATAACTCTTATAAAGTTCAATTACTTTTTAATAATTTTAATATTTTTTGAAAAATTCAATGATTTAAAAAAGTTTTTAAATAAAAACTGTAAAATTGAATTGTTAACAGAATTTTTTTTTTTTTAGAAATTTGTCCTACTTAAGGGGAGGGACCGGTGAAATTTCAACTCATTGAAATTAATGTTGTTAAGAGATGTCAATTTTTTTTCTGGCATTAAAAAATCTTACAGTGAAAAATAATAAAAATTGTAAAATAAGTTTAAATTTTTAGTGTTTGAAAATTCCGAGTTTTATTTAAAAAAAATTTATTAATGATTTAATTGTTTTTCAATTTCCCAAAATTTTGAAATTAAATTTAATTAAAATAAAAAAATCGATTTTAGACTTTTTTTGTAATGTAAATCAACTTAAACGACTTTTTGTGCGAACAAATTAAAAAACATACGACAATTGTAATTATAGTAAAACCTCTGGAAAAACATAAAAAAAAATTAATAACGTTTTAACAGACCGGAAAAAGCGTAATTTTTTAACACCTATCTGCTTAAAGGTTTTAAAAAAGAATCAAAATTAAAAATTTAATAAAAATTCTAAATTTTAATTTTTTTTTTGAAAAATAATAAAATTTTTCTTTCTATAATAAAAATTAAATGTGTATTAAAAAATTAATGAAATATAAGAATGAAATTAAAAATACAAGAAAATATAGTAAAAGAAAAATTACAAGATAATTATTAGCTTTTGAATAACTTGTTATTAGTTACTCATTGAGTATACTCATAAAAAATTGGTATAATTAAAATTTTTCCTGGAAATATTCACTTTTGAAATTTATATTTTATTCTGAAAAAAACTAATAGGGTGTTCAGCAATTTTTGAGAAAACAAAAAATTTCAAAGACTTTTTAAAGTTTTCAAGGTCGAAAATAATTTTTTTTCAGTGTTAACGTTTAAGGTAGAAATTCAAGACTTTTAAAGCTGATTTTTTTACAGAAATCAATAAATTACGATTTTTTAATTCGATTATATAATTTTAATTATATTTACTTTATTTTTCAATTAAAATTCTTGGAAAATACTAAAAATTTATTTTCAAAAATTTTAACGGAATTTTTTTTTTAAATTAAATTATTTTTCAAAATTTTTACAGCTTTACGAAATTAAAATTTTAATCAAATTTTACGAAATTACAATTTTAATAAAATTTTACGAAATTTGAATTATTTAAAAAAAATTTAATATTCAAGGTTTTGTTTTAATAAATTCAAGGTGTGATATTTCAAGGTTTTTATGGTTCGCTGAACACCCTGTTACTAATTGTAAAAAAAAGAAAATAAAAATAAAATGAAAATATAAAAAAAATTTTAAATGATTAATTTGTTCTAATATTTAGCGTTGTCAACGAGGATGATTGAAAGAATATTCAGTGGAGCAGTGACGAGAGGAAACGGAAAAAATGCAACCGAAATTCGTCAAGGAGAAGGGAAAATGAGTTACACGGAATTTGTTTGGTTTCTGTTGAGCGAAGAAGATAAAAATCATCCGACAGCTATTGAATATTGGTTCAGGTAATTATTATTTTTTTTTTAAAGTCCATTATTTACTATAATTAATTCTTATTTGTCTATTATTTGCTATAAAAATATATAATTATATAAAATATAAATATATTTATTTATATTATATAAATTATATAAATATATAAAATATATAATTACAACTGATTCATTTAAGTAATTTCGAAAATTTTAATTAATTTTTAAACTAAAAACTAATTTAACTTTAACTTTTAACTAATTTGTTCATTTATTATTATAAATTCATTCTTTATTCAAGTATTGAAAAATAAATCCAAATAAAAAAACAATTATTTATATTTTTACATTTTTCAAGCTTGAAATAATAAAATAAAATAAGCTTGAAATTTCTAAAAAATGGAAATATTTTTCAAAAATTATTAATTTACATATATCGAAAAGTGTATTTTTTTCCCCTCCTTCATATAATAAATTTCCACACGCGATAATATCTGAGAAAAATTCTTTTAATTTTCCCTATTATAAAACCAGTTTCTTTATTATTTTTTTTTTTTTTCCCCTCGCTGCATATAGATGCATGGATCTAGATGGAGATGGTTATCTGTCAATGTATGAACTGGAATATTTCTACGAAGAACAGTTACTGAGAATGGAGGCAATTGGCATTGAAACATTACCATTTGAAGATTGTCTTTGTCAAATGTTAGATATGATTCATCCAAAAATACCCGACAAAATTTCACTGGCAGATTTGAAAATATGTAAAATGACAACAATTTTCTTTGATACGTTCTTTAATCTTGAAAAATATTTAGATCATGAGCAAAGGGATCCTTTTGCATCTGCGAGGGAACATGACGCCGACGGGCATGAGGTAATTTATTTAAATTCAACTCCAATGTAATTCTAACTAAAAATAAAAAAAATAATAAAAATAACGATAAAAATAAAAATAGTAATAACAATAATAATAATAATAATAATTTACATGTTTACTTGTAAATAAATAAATAATAACAATAAAAAAGTAATAAAAATAATAAAAATAATAATAATAATATAATAACAATAACAGTTATGAGAGATAAAAAATAAAAAAAAATTTTTTTTTTAGCTATCCGATTGGGATCGTTTTGCTGCCGAGGAATACGAATTATTGGTTGCAGAGGAGAATGGAAACGATCAAACGGAACAGATGTAAGTTTATGTGAATGAAATTAAATTATAGTTTGAAAAATTTTAACTATTGCTCTTTAAAAATTCAATTATTTCTCAAATTTTTAACAATTCGGGGAAATAAAAAGATTTTTAATTAAAAATACTCTAAAATTCTATTATTCTTTGAAGTTTGTAAAAAAAAAATTTTATCAATTAAAATTTATGAAAGTTTTAATTTAAAATCTTTTGAAATTTAATTACTTTCAAACAAATTTTAACTCGAATTTTTCCAAATTCAATTAGTAATTAGATAATTAATTGTGTGTTAATTCAATTGAAAATTTTTTCCACAAATTTTTATCTATATAATTCTTTGTTTAATTAATTATTTCAACAGTTTTAATCCAATTTTCAAAAATTCAATTACATAAATCGTTTTTTAATTAATGTTCATATTAACAACAAAATTATAATTTTTTAAATCTCAAAAAATGCAATTATTTAGAATATATATTAATTTCAGTTGAAAATTGTCTAAAATTTAATAGTCTGAAATTTGTAAAAATTTCATTAATTCAAATTTTTAAAAGTTTCAATTAAAAATCTCGTAAAATTTAATTATTTCTAAAAATTTTTTAATCAAATTCTTCCAAATTCAATTATTATTTTTAAAATTTTAATTAAAAATCTTCTAAAATTCAATTAATTCACAAATTTTCATTTAAAATTAATTTTTTTTTTCAATAATATTTTAATCAAATTCTTTGAAAATTTAATTATTTAAAAAATTTTCCGTAAATCTGAATTTATCTAATATTCGATTATTGTCTGAAATTTGAAAAAAAATTCTCAAATTCAAATTTATAAAAGTTTTAATTGAAAATCTCCTGAAATTCAATTAATTCTAAAAATTTTAAATCAAACTCTTGCAAATTCAATTATTTTAAAAATTTTAATAAAAAATCTTATAAAATTCAATTATTTTACAAATTTTCATTTTTAAATTTATATTTTTTTAAAAAATATTTTAATCAAATTCTTCAAAAATTTAATTATTTAAAACATTTTCCAATGTCCTGAATTCGAATAATATGCATAAATCAGACTTGAAAAATTTTATTTTTATATGTTTCATTATTTTTCAAAATTTTTGTTCTTTAAGTGAATTGAAGTCTTGAAAATTTATCGCAGCATAATTCGGTGGTTTAAAAAGAAAAATTCTTGAAAATATTGCTTTGAAAACATTTTTATTGAGGAATTAATAAATTTTATTTAATTTCTAATAACCAATTTGTTATTGATAATAAAATATTTATTAATTAAATTTACTATAAAATATTGACTTTTTAGACATTTCTTGTAATGTAAATCGACTAAAATGACTTTTTTTCTTTCAAAACACGGTGCGCCAGAAGGAGGTTTAAATAAAAATAAATTGTCACTTAAAAATTCTTTTTGATTATGGTTCTAAAATGAATAAAAAAAACTTTTCTCAATAGGTTTTAAAATCAGCTTACGTGCCCAATTTAAAACAAATTGAGTTTTAAATATTTAAAAATAGTATTTTATGAGGAACCAGAATTTATTTAATGTATACTTATATGCGTATAGATAATAGATGTTTTAGATTTGGGTTCATATAAATTTATTAACAATGAAGTTATTTTCTTGTTTCGTTTTTATATTTATGCATTAAGAATGTCGAACGGTATCTGAAATTCTTTGTCAAGAAGAGAGCTTTAATTATCCCTCTGAACGTGAAATAGTATTGATTTTAAAATACTTTTTTCTCGAAACACGAACACTTTTAACAAAATCAGCCAAAATCCTCATCTTATAAATTTCCTAAATCCAAAAGACTGTACGAATCCATAGAAAAACATGGTTGCAAAACAAAAAGTAGAAAAGTAATCTAATAACAGCTGCGACTTTGTGCGCCCTGCATGCTGCTGCCATCTGACGGCGGCAGGAGGTAATGAACCCATCATTATATTACTTTTCGTTTAGCAATCGTGTTTTTGTATGGATTCGCATAATCTTTCGGAATTAGGAAATTTATATAAGATAAGGATCTCTAGCTGCTTTTGTAAAAAGTGTCTGTCTTTCGAGAAGAAAGTATTTTAAAATCAATGTTTATCATTTTCACGTTTAGTGCCGTTTTTATAGAGCGATAATTAAAGGTCTCTTCTTGCCAAAAAATTTCAGAGATCATTCGACTCTCTTAAATAAATTTTGTCACTCTTAAAATCGTTCTTTTAACATTATAATTTAATTTTTTAAAATCGGACACAAACACTACAGCAATATAATTATTTATATGTAAAATTGAAAATAAGTAATTATTTTATCATTTATTACAGTATTTATTAGATTAAATAAATTCTGATTCCCCATAAAACACTGTTTTTTATATAAAAACTCAATTTTATTTAAATCGGGCACGTAAGCTGATTTTAAAAACTATTGAGAAATGTTTTTTATTCATCTAAGAATCATAATCAAAAAGAATTTTTAAGTGCCAATTCATTTTTATTTAAACCACCTTCTGGCGCGAAAAGTGAAAAGTCAATCCGAGGCTTACAATTATAAAAATTGTAAGACAATAATTTTTAGAAGGAAATGTTTGAATTGAAAATTTCAAAAATTATAATTTTAGTAGCATTTTTAAAAATTTGATATCTTTGCAGTACTTTTCATAAAATTCCCTGACTTTTCCTATTTTTCCCTGACACTTTCCATGATTTTCCTGGTCCGTGGCAACCCTGTATATTTTAATTTTACTAAATAAGCAAAAAATAATTTTCAACTTCTTTTATCCATTATTGATTACTTGAGAAAATAAATTTAAAAAATGATATTCGCCTTCAATAGAAAATTGTTCATCATTTCATTTTTATTGAATTATCACATAATAATTTTATGTAGAAGGTCTTTTATAATGAAAATTGTTAGAATATAACGGTTGCGTAAAAAAAAATTTTTTTCATTTCCAATTTAATATTTTCCTTTTGAAAATTGGTAATATTAATAAATTATTACTATTAATGGCTTTAATTAATAATTAATAATAATTAACAATAAATTTTCATTTTACAGAATTTCTCGTTTTATTCAATTATTTATTTAATAATTTAAAAGTTTATTACAAATTAACAGAAATTTTTAAATAAAAGAATTTTCATTTTACCGAATTTAAATTTGTCCAAATTTTTATTAGTAGCGATTTTTATTTAAAAATTTTTTTATAACAATCGACTGAAAGATTTTGGCAAGATTTTAAAAATTGACGAATCAGAAAATTGTGATTGGACAATTTTAAAATACGCGCCGAAATTTTTCTGTAAATTATCCGTTCGGGCATTTGTCATTTCGGTCAAATAAAAAATAAGCGTTCTAAGGATTTTATCAAATTTTGAAAGATTTAATTGAACAATTGTCAACAAAAGAAAATTATTTTGAAGGACTTTTATTCACGGAAATGCAGACGTCTAGAAAAAAAAATTAATTAACATTTAAATAATTAAAATAATATTATTAATTGTACTTTCTCAAAGATGAGATATTAATTTTCAAGAAAAAAATTTGAAACCTGCATAATTTATTTGTTTATATACAAATCCAAATTTTTCTTTTAAATAATTATATTTTCCAAATGGCTTGCTTGTTTGAAAATTTAAATAAATATTTAAAATCTTCAAAATAAAATTTCATTTAGACAATAATTATTAGAACGTATTTAATTTAATTTTTCACCTCTTTTTGTTTTAGGCTTCAGGAAGCTGTAATGGATGATGAGTATGCATCAAGTCAAGATATGAATTTAGAGTCAAACTCATTAGAAAGTGGAAATTCAAAAGGCCCAAGGGGCTCGAATGAATCGGGTAATTTAAAAAGTCATCAACCAAAGGCCGCTTATTGCGATAGCTGTGATAGCGACGATTATGCAGACAGTGACAATTAACTTCGACATATATAGTCCTAAAAATCAGTTGAAGTGCGAATGATATCACAAGAGCGAAAGATTATAAGGAAAGAATGATAATGATGACGAAAATTCCTAAAAAAAAAAAAAAAAAAACAAAGTCAACGTAGATGAAGCTATCAAACTTGATTAACACTCCAAAAAAATTATTTTCAAGAAATTATAAAAAAATCGACAACCAATTAATTTTTTGTCTTGAAAAGACTGTCGGAATATATACTAATATATATAAAATATATTTTAGGGAGAAATTATTTTTTTCATTGTAAAGATACGTAAAAAAAAAAAAATAATTAATTAACAATTTTCCGCTCGAGTTTGTTTAGCTTCTGCGTTCCTATACAAAAAAAAACTGCTGAAGTATCATAATAAATAAGCAGATATAGAATTTATCTAGAATCGTGTGTTAGATGTTTCATAGCCGTTATTAAAAAAAAAAAATTTTATATTCTAATTTATTGTTTCATATTTTTATTCACTTGGCGGTAAAAACGCGTAGATATTATATATTATATAAATATTATGAAAGATCTTTATATTGAGATCTTGTAATAATCGAATCTAATGTTGTATTTATTACAGAAAAAAAAAAAAAAAAAAAATTTGCTATTGTGGCATTTTCAGAGAACGATATTACCTCTGGTAGCTCTCTTATTAGTTTCAATAAATTTCGTTATAGAAAGAATAAACAAATTCTTGTTTTTTTTTTCTTATATCCTTTGAGAAAATTTATATTCTTTTCTTATAATATATTAAATTTCTTTCAGCCTTTTTTTTATATGGTTATTTTTCGCATAAAAAAATATTGCAAGTTTTGCGATTTCGGAGATTTCATTTTTTTTCAATCACATAAAATACCAAAAATAAATCATAATCATTTTTCCCTTTTTTTTTGAAATTAATGTCAATTAAACTGTTATTTTAAACTTTAACAAAATTTCAAATTTAAAAATTCTGCTAAATGAAAATTTTGCTGAATACAAATTTGTTCAATACACAGAAATAGGGTAAAATAAAATTCTGTTTAATAAAAAACTCTCTAAAATGTAAATTCTATTACTACAGTTTCATAATAATTTTTTATTGTTCAAAATTTTTTTTTCTTGTTTTGTCAAATAGTGAGATAAAAAAAACCTCAGATTCTTAATCAGTGACCCTTAAAAAGTTTTCTTAAGTGAATTTAAACTTAAATCGGGACGCATGGATATATTCTAAAAATCATTAGTTAAAATTTTTATTTTATAGAATTTTATTTGTCATAATTATTTTTGAGCCGAATTTTTATTTGTTCGAATTAGTATTTTTGCAGAATTTTCATCAAACCGATTTTCTATATTACAGAATTTTTATATAACCGAAAATTCACTTCACAGAATTTTTATTTGCTCGAATTTTCATTTATCAGAATTTTTATTTACTCGAATTTTCATTTAACATAATAGGCATTTTAAAGAATTTTTTTTGGATAGAATTTAATTGCATAGAATTTTCATTTTATTCTTTCAGATGAATTTTCATTGGTTCAAATTATTATTTGATATAATTTCTATATAACCGATTTTTCATACTACAGAATTTTTACTTAACCGAAAAATCATTTAACAGTAATTCTAATTGATAGAATTTTCATTTGTCCGAAATTGCAAATGGCCGAACAAACAATAGACAGAAAGATTTCAGCGCGATAAATAATAATAATAATAATAATAATAATAAATAGATAAATAAATAAATAATAAATTTCAGATAATTTGAAACTCAAATCAATTAAAATTTGGACAAATTTTAAAATTCGGATAATTTGAAAATTAACTCAATAAAAATTCAGATAAATTAAAATTCGGATAATTTGAAACATGTATAAATAATATAAATTCAAATTTGAATAAATTGAAATTATATTCAGTTATTTTTAAACTTAAACTAATTAACATTTATATCAATTAAAATTGAAAAAATTTAAAACTTTAGACAATTAAATTTCGGATAATTTAAAACTCATATCAATTACAATTTGGTCAAATTGAAATTCGGATAATTTAAATCTTAATTTAATTAAATTTTAAATAAACTAAAATTTGGTAATTTGAAACTTTAAAACAATTTTTGGATAATTTTAAACTTAAATTAATTAAAATTCGAATAATTTGTAACTTAATACAATCAAAATTCAGATAATTTAAAATATTAATCAATTTCAATTTGGCCAAATTAAAAATCTGATAATTTGAAACTTAAGTCAATTAAAATTCGGATAATTTAAAACTTATACAAATTTGGATAATTTGAAAATTAATTCAATTAAATTTCAAATAAATTAAAATTTGGTAATTTGAAACTTTAAAACAATTAAAATTTGGATAATTGTAAACTTAATTCAATTAAATTTTAAATAAATTAAAATTTGGTAATTTGAAACATTAAAACAATTAAAATTTGGATAATTGTAAACTTAATTAAAATTTGGACAATTTTAATGTTAAATTAATAAAAAAGGGGACAAATTGAAATTTGGAAAATTTGATAAAACTTAAATGAATTAAAATAAAATTAATTAAAATTCCAATAATTTAAGAATTAAATCAATTACTCTTTAGGTAGATTGAAATTTTTATTAATTTTAATTTTCGATTGAAGGAATTTGCATTTGTTTATAAAATTTTAATTAATTCATTTGTTTTGATAGATAAAAATTTAATTTTATTGAAAGTTGAATTCAAATTTGAACAATAATAATAAATAATAATAATAATAATAATTTTTGATTTAAAAAAAAATAATGCGATGCTGCTGATTACTAATTTTGATTCTAATCTATACACGGAGAGAAATCTGCTGCGATTTGCGCATGAGCAAGTCCAAAGGAATATAGCATGGACACTTCCAAGCAAAAACCATAAGATTCCATCTGAATATCAGGTGAGACTCATACAATAATACCTCGCTCACTTAGGATTTTTGCTTGAAAGCGTCTGTTACTATATTCCTAAGGACATGCTCATGCGTAAATCGCACCAGATTTCTCTCCGTGTAATATCATCAAATACTAAAGATATTTGGCATAAAAGGAAGGGAGAAGAAACACACTAACGTTCTGCCATCTGGTGGAATTGAAAACAAATACCAGAATGTAAAATATATATACTTCAAGGTCGCTTAATTCAGGATTTTCTGTCCATTGTGTCTAGTTTTATCTCCCGTTATCTTATTTACGAATTTGTGTTGCGAGAAAAAAATTTTCATCTCCGGACAATAATTTTTCTTTTCATTTTTCACTGTTATTTACATATTTTATTATTATTATTGACAAGAAATTATGTTGAATTTTTGTCGACAATCCTTGCTTGCCAACACACCAATGTAAGTAGTTACTCTGAAAAATTAATCTTCTCTATTATAACCGGCTTATTTAATTTCTGTCAAAATTTTTTGTTTAACAAATCATCAATAATCCTCAAAAATTCATTTTCTTTGAATAGAAAAATAATTGTTATTTGTAGAAATGAAATTTTTTTTTTTAAATTATTTTTTTTTGATTATTTGACATATCCATTATAATGTGACTGTCAAATTTTTTTTCCATTGTTATCGAAAAGTTAAAATTTTTTTTGTTAATAAAATAAAAAAATTTTACGGTACGTTGAATATTTTTTTTTTCATTTTTAGATCGAAAATTTTTATTGATTTAAATTTTTGTTCATGGGGAAAAATTTGGTAATATTTTAAATACATATAAAAACTGTTTGGATTTGGGTAGATGACAAAAGATGAATTCAATGGAAATTTTCCATTCGATCAGCTGTTCTCAAAAATTTGACACGGCTCAATGGAGAGAAAGGGAATGATTTCTATTTTTAGATTATATACTTGTATTTTTTCAATGAGGTTATGTTTCGTGTGAAAAATGAAAATTATAGGTGAAGGTCGAAATGCTGTTATTTTTTTTCTTCTGATGTATGACCTTTTTACATTTTTTAAGAGCAAAAAAAAAAAAAAAAAAGAACATTGATTGGAAAATAATCGATTATTGAAGTCTTTGTAATGTCATTTAGAATATATAAATATAATTTGCTTGTTTTTTTTTTAAATATTTGTGATAAAAATAAATTTATAACAATTTTTCAAATTTTTTCGTAAAATTTTTTTAAACTAATAATTCAAACTTCTTTACTTTTTGTTAGTAATTATTGAGAAAAGAGAGAAAAGGAAGTTAATTATTATAAATTTTATTTTTTATTAATTATAATTAGTTATATAATTACTTATAATGTTAATTATAATAGTTCAAAATTTTGAATTATAGGGACTGATTTTTTTTTTACTAGGAATTAGTTAAAAATTTAAAAATACGAAAAAATTAAAAAAAAATTTTTTAAATGAAAATGAAATGTAGTAACTAATTCAAATTAGTCGAAATTAGTTGAAAAAAATTTATTAAATCAAATTTAGAGACTAAATAATTATTATTTTTATGTGTAAAATTTAGTATTTTCATATAGAGATTGTGGTAAAAAAAGTTTTTTTTAATTAAAAATTATATTTTAATTATTTTTATAGTATAGAATTTTTTTTTTAATACTTTGTAATCGTTAAACGATAGTGAACTTGTTAATAGTTCTAATTTGTCATTCATTACTTATTTTTTCACTCTGTGATAATATAAATGGTATAGGTCAGTGTAAAGATAACGCGTTACGTAATAAAATAGAATGTCAGAAATAACTCACACTTTTCTGATTATATATATATATATATATGTTCATATTTATACACGTGCTAAAAATTATTTTTAATAATATGCTTCTAAATTAAAAAAAAAAAAATACTCTAAAAATATTTTTTCGAATGTCAGTGTGCACACTTTATTTGAAAAACTTAAGTTTTTGCAAAGTTAAAAATTTTCATTCTTCATTAAAAAAAAATGGAAAATTTCAGAATAAAAATTATCGTTTCACGATTTTTATATTTATTTTAATATAAAAACTAGCAAAATTTAATTATTTGTTATAAAGAAATTAAAGATTAATATTATTAATAATAATTTAAATTATTAGAATATTATTACATATTAAATGATAATAATGAAAATTATATGTTTTATTTAACAAATTTTCAACTAAAATGATTCTTCACTAAATTAATTATTTTTAATAATTTTAATGAAATACATCACAAATTCAATTATATCAAAATTATTTTTCAATTAAAATTTTTATGAAATTTAACAATTGTTTATAATTTAAAAAAAAAAATGTCACAATAAAATTGAATTATTTTTTAAAAATTTCAATTCAAAATAAACTAAAATTCAATTATTACCCGAAATTTTAATTCAAAATCAATTAAAAATCCAATAATTATCCAAAATTTTCAATTTAAAATTTAATTATTTACCAAGTTTTCAATTTAAAATGAAATAAAATTCAATTATTTTCTAAAATTTCTATTCAAAATTAATTATCCAAATTTACAATCAAAAATGAACTTCAATTAAATTATTATCCAAAATTTCAATTAAAATTCAATTATTTCCCAAAATTTTCAATTCAAAATGAATTGAAATTCAATTATTTTCCAAATTTAAAATCAAATAAATTTTCATTATTCTCAAAAATTTGAATTCAAAATTAATTGAATTTTCAATAATTTGAATTTAAAAGCATCTAAAATTTAATTATTTCTAAAATTTTCCATCGAAAATTTTTTTTTTGAAATTTAATAATTTCAATTATAACTCTAAGGAAATTCAATTATTTTTAACTATTTGCTTGTTTGAAAATTTATAATTATAACTAATTAAATTAGTTTTTTTATTCATCTTAGAACCATAATCAAAAAGAATTGTTAATAATTATAAAATTATTTAAAATTTCAACTTTAACCCCGCTGTTTCTCCATTCAATTTCACCGCTATTGGCGGTAATCTTAGCTATACACCTGCTCTTATGGTTCGCATTACTATCAAAAATCACTTAAAGTTTCAATTAATTTCAAAAATCTCAATTTTAAATCTTTGAAAATTCAATTAAATTTAAAAAATGTTTTCCAAAAATTGTTTGATAAATTATTTTTAGTTCTGTAAAATTTAATAATTGTTTGAAAATTAACAATATCTTTTGAAATTTAATTATTTCTAAAAATTTCAACTTTAACCCTTCGAAAAGGATTATTATTAAAAAAAAAATTTTATTTAAAAATCTGTGAAATATTTTTGTTAACATAAAAAACAAATCGACTTTTTTTTGGAAATTCCAAATTTTAAATTCAAATTATTGAAAATTCAATTAATTTTGAATTAAAATTTTTGAGAACAATTAAATTTTATTTGATTTTAAATTTGGAAAATAATTTAATTTCAATTCATTTTGAAATGAAAATTTTGGGAAATAATTGAATTTTAATTGAAATTTTGGATAATAATTTAATTTAAGTTCATTTTTGATTGAAAATTTGGATAATTAATTTTGAATAGAAATTTTAGAAAATAATTGAATTTTATTTCATTTTAAATTGAAAACTTGGTAAATAATTAAATTTTAAATTGAAAATTTTGGATAATTATTGGATTTTCAATTGATTTTGAATTAAAATTTCGGGTAATAATTGAATTTTAGTTTATAGTTTATAGTTATTTATTTATAGTTTTTATAAAACGACTTTTTGTCTCTTTAAGTTGATTCGAGGCCTGTGTTTTTATAATTAATATTTAATAGGTATTCGTTGGCCCCTGGTACCTTAAAAATTATTTTTTAAAAATAAATTTTTTTCAAATTACTATCTTGTACCAAATTTCCTAGCGCATCATTTTTCTCATCATAAATTTTTTGTATTTGTATACAATTTTTGAATGAATATACAACTTTAAAAAAAATTTCGTTGGTAAACGTTGTGTACTTCAGCTTCGTGAATTGAATTTTCGAATTTGGAATTTTAAAGAAACTTATTCCGAAATTTGGAAACACAATTATACATTTTTGGCAAAAATGAGAAAAAGAATTGTCAAAATTTGACACGTCATAAGATTACTATTCAAAAAAACACGTGCAATCAGAAAAGGCCAACTTCAAGTTAAGACAGAAGGACAGACCAAGCATTTTATTATTATATAATTTTTACCAATCGATGAAAAAGAAATTTAAATTTTTTGTAAATTAATTCCATAAAAATAATTAATTTTTATAAATATTAATTTTTTAAATATATTTTTTAGTACAATAATAAAGAACAATTAATTTGATATTAATTTTTTAAAATATTTTTTAATAAAATTTTTTTTGAATGTAAAGTTTTATAAGCGTTTTTTTTACTCAAAACATTTGTTTATTTTATTTTTACCTACAAAGTTGTAGATATTTATCTTTTTTCTTTATATAAATAGAAATTTCTCTCTATAAAAATGTTTAAAGATCATATCTCAAGTTCATTCTTGAGAGTCAAGTTTACTCTTTTATTGCTGATAATATTAATCTTGTACAAACCTCGTAAATTCTTATTTCAATAAAATTTATATCAGTAGCTCTCTTTTATGAATCTTATCGTGAATGTATATAGAAAAAATGTAATTTTCTTTTATATTTATTTATTTAGAGGAACACGATGGATAGGATCCGTGGTATCAGTGAACAATACAAGGGATTTCCCATTAAAGAACGAGCCAATTTTGTCATACAAAAAAGGCAGCAAAGAACGTGTCGAATTAGAAAAAACACTCGATGAAATGAGTAAAGAGTGTGAAGAAATTCCTCTAGTCATCGGGGGCAAGGAATTTAAATCCGATAATTGCGCTTATCAAGTTATGGTAAATTTTTATAATTAATTATTATTATTCTCATTGATATCAAATTAAATTTCTATCTTTTTTTTTATAATTTAAAAAAAAAATTTTTATTTTCTTTTTTAATTTTCATTGAATGATTAATTTTATGTTTTAAAAAGGATAGAGGCTTAAAACTAAAAGATGGTTTTTACAAAAATTAAAAATCGTTTTTCAGTTTTGAGGATATTTTAGGGCCTTTATACAGAATTTTTTTTCACAAAAAATTAATATAATTAAAAAAAAAAAAAATTTTAACCTCTACTAAGTGATAAATCTAAAAAATAAATGTTTCAGCCTCACAATCATCAGCGCAAAATAGCAAAATATTATCAAGCATCGCGTGAACAAATAAAAAAAGCCATTGACGTTGCTGTAAAATTTCAAAGAGAATGGGATCGAGTACCAATTTCAAATCGCATTGATATTTGGCTAAAAGCGGCTGATTTAATGGCTGGCAAATATCGACAACAATTGAATGCAGCGACAATGCTGGGACAAAGTAAAACAATGATTCAAGCTGAAATTGACAGTGCCGCGGAATTAATTGATTTTTTTAGAATTCACAGTTGGTTTCTTCAGGATGCACTCAAATATAAACCAATATCTGAGAATCCAAAGGAGACATTAAATTCAATGAGGTATCGCGGAATGGATGGTTTCGTCGCCGCTGTTTCTCCATTCAATTTCACCGCCATTGGCGGTAATCTTAGCTATACACCTGCTCTTATGGTTCGCATTACTATCAAATTCGGTTTTTTAGTTTTATTTATTTATTATTTTATTTTAAATGATTCCTAACGATATGAGATGATAGATTGTTATTTTAGAAAAAGAAGGGAAAATTTACAAGAAATTTTAATTTTTCAAATCTTTATTTTATCGAAATTTGTTTTATAGGCAAACGAAGCCATATTTACGAATTCAGTGGCTACAAAAATCATCAAGTAATAAATTTCAGGCAAATCGGATTAATTTTTAATTACTTCGATCCGCTATTTTGAATTTTTGAAAACTGACATCGGATTCGTAATCAGCGACCCCGAAAACTCCCGTAGTAACAAGTTTCAAGTGAATCTAATTATTTTAAAAAAAATTTACGCCATATTGGACGCGCCATTTTGAAATTTCAAAAAACTTTTAAGGGGAGGGACTGCTAAAATTTTAACCTTTCAAAATTGAGGCTGTTTCAGGTTGTCAATTTTTTTTCCAGTTAATATTGAGTATTTAAAATTGTAATATACTATGAGAAATTGATAAACAATTAATTTATTAATAATTTTTAAAATAAAACTCAAAATTTTCAAAAACTAAAAATTTAAACTTCTGTCACAATTTTTATTATTTTTCATTGCTGATTTTTTTATACACTTCTTTCAAGATTCTAAACAATCAATCGTATGGATTTTGAAAAAATTCAATTTTTGAAAAAATAAAATTTTTGAAAAATAAAAAAATAGCAAAATTTATTAAAAATAACTTTTTTCATTTTTCATATTGAATTATGATTTCAGATTCTAAAAAAATTTGTAAACAAAATTGTTACCCCTAAACCAAACCCACGGTGCGCCAGAAGGTGGCTTAAATAAAAATGAATTGGCACTTAAAAATTCTTTTTGATTATTATGATTCTTAGATGAATAAAAAACATTTCTCAATAGTTTTGAAAATCAGTTTACGTGCCCAATTTAAATAAAATTGAGTTTTTATATAAAAACAGTGTTTTATGGGGAATCAGAATTTATTTAATCTAATAAATACTGTAATAAATGATAATATAATTACTTATTTTCAAGTTTATATATAAATAATTATATTGCTGTAGTGTTTGTGTCCGATTTTAAAAAATTAAATTATAATGTTAAAAGAACGATTTTAAGAGTGACAAAATTTATTTAAGAGAGTCGAATGATCTCTGAAATTTTTTGGCAAGAAGAGACCTTTAATTATCGCTCTATAAAAACGGCACTAAACGTGAAAATGATAAACATTGATTTTAAAATACTTTCTTCTCGAAAGACGGACACTTTTTACAAAAGCAGCTAGAGATCCTTATCTTATATAAATTTCCTAAATCCGAAAGATTATACGAATCCATACAAAAACACGATTGCAAAACGAAAAGTAAGATAATGACAGGTACATTACCTCCTGCCGCCGTCAGATGGCAGCAGCATGCAGGGCGCACAAAGTCGCAGCTGTTATTAGATTACTTTTCTATTTTTTGTTTTGCAACCATGTTTTTCTATGGATTCGTACAGTCTTTTGGATTTAGGAAATTAATAAGATGAGGATTTTGGCTGATTTTGTTAAAAGTGTTCGTGTTTCGAGAAAAAAGTATTTTAAAATCAATACTATTTCACGTTCAGAGCGATAATTAAAGCTCTCTTCTTGCCAAAGAATTTCAGATACCATTCGACACTCTTAATGCATAAATATAAAAACGAAACAAGAAAATAACTTCATTGTTAATAAATTTATATGAACCCAAATCTAAAACATCTATTATCTATACGCATATAAGTATACATTAAATAAATTCTGGTTCCTCATAAAATACTATTTTTAAATATTTAAAACTCAATTTGTTTTAAATTGGGCACGTAAGCTGATTTTAAAACCTATTGAGAAAAGTTTTTTTATTCATCTTAGAACCATAATCAAAAAGAATTTTTAAGTGCCAATTCATTTTTATTTAAACCACCTTCTGGCGCATGTTTGGTTTCAATTTAATCAATTATTCCTTAAAAATTCAACTTCTTCTATAATTTTTATTATTTTTTATCGGTAATTTTTTTATAGGCTTTTTTCATGATTCTGAACAATCGATCGTATGGATTTTTAAAATTTTTAACATTTAAAAAAAATAAAATTTCTAAAATGGTCAAAAAAAATTTTGTTTTAATTTTGATAATTTACTATAATTTTAGATCCAAAATAATGTCAGAAAAAAATTGACACCCTTTAACAACATTAATTTCGATGACTTGAAATTTTATCGATCCCTTCCCTTAAAATCTGAGGTAATATTCGTAATCATCGACTCCAAAAACCCCCGAGTAACAAATTTAAAACGAATCCGATTTCTTCTGCTGATCACAAATAATCCGATGACAGAATTTAGAAAAAAAAACAAAAAAAATGGTGGAATATGAATATAAAATATTTTTTTTTACAAAAATGTAAAAATGCTTTGGATTTAAACGAAACTTAAAGTTTTTGAAGTTTTTCGGGTCAATGATTAGGATTTTGTTGTTAATTTTTCAAAATTAAAAAAAAGCGACTTACTAAATTTTGAAAATGATAGGATCCGCTTTGAAATTGTTTTCTCGGAAATAAAAATTTTTTTTGAATGCTCAAAACTTTCTTAAAAAAGCATCAGTTTAAAAATTTCTTTCCTTTTTTTTCATATAAGTAATTTCGATAAAATAAAAATTAGAAAAAAAATTATTAACAAGTGGATTAAATTTATTAATTTTTATATTATTTTGCATATAAAATTAAAAATCTTTTATTAAATATAATTTTTTACTCAAAAGAGTAGAAAAAAAAATTGTTTCAAAAATATATTGACATTTTTTTTCTTATTATACTGTGTGCATTTTCTTTTATCAATAGACTATTTACTTAAAAAATTTCTGATTAAAAATTATTTCTACTTTCACCAGGGTAACGCTGTTTTATGGAAACCATCTGACACGGCATTACTTTCCAATTGGATTATTTTTAAAATCTGCAGGGAAGCTGGTGTACCACCGGGTGTCGTGAATTTTGTACCCGCTTTAGGTCCCGATTTTGGTGATACAATCACTTCATCGCCCTATCTCTCAGGAATTAATTTCACTGGTTCAGTGCCAACTTTTAATCGACTTTGGTCACAAGTTGGCAAAAATATTGATATTTATAAAAATTATCCAAAACTCATTGGCGAATGTGGTGGGAAAAATTATCATTTTGTTCATCCAACCGCAGACGTTGAGTCTGTTGTTATGGGAACAATTCGAAGTGCTTTCGAATATAATGGACAAAAATGTTCCGCTTGCAGTCGAATGTACGTGCCAGAATCTCTTTGGAGTAAGGTAAGAGTTTTTTTTTTCTTTTATCAAGGTTGACACAAAAATATTATTTCGTTTTTCTCCGATTTCCAGAAAAAATTAAAATTTTTTCCCTGACCCTAATGAAAATATTTCAAGAGGTTTTCAATAACAGGCCTCGGATTTCACGACTTTTTTTTTAATTAATTCTAAAATTGAATTATTAAAAAAATATATTGACTTGAATTGTTTGCAAAATTAATTATTTTCAATAATTTAAAACAAATTCTTCGAAAATTACATGATTTAAAACAGTTTTTAATTGAAAATTCACTGAAATTAAATTGTCTAAAGTTTTTAAAAGAATTTCATCAATTCGAATAAAAAGTTTCAATTAATATTCTTCTGAAATTCAATTATTATTTCTGAAAATTTTAACTCCAACTCTTAAAAAATACAATTATTTCTAAATTTTCTATCTAAAATTTAAATTGTTGAATAATTTAATTTTAATAATTTTAATCAAGATTTTCGAAAATTCCATTATTTAAAACATTTTCCAATATAAAATTGTCCAAAGTTTAATTATTGTTTAAAGCTTATAAAATATCTACGAAAATTTTAATTAAAAATCTCCTGAATTTCAATTAGTTCCAAAAATGTTAACTATTGCTCTTCCAAAACTCAATTATTTCTCAAATTTTTAACTTCTTTTTCAAATTAATTATATCGGATTAACGTATTTTTTCCTGTTTCAAGACAGTAATTTTTAATATTGTCATTTTTTGGATTAATTTTACAAAATAGGTATTTTTGCAACTAGATCATATCGGATTAACGTATTTTTTCATGTTACAAAATAGTAATTTTGGTTAACGTTATTTTTGGATTAATTTTACAAAATAGGTATTTTTAATTTCAATTTCTTTTTCAATTAATTATTTCTAATAACTATAATCAAGTTTTCCAAAAATAAAATTACATAAAAAGTTTTTCAAATATAAATTATTTAAAAATTAAATTTTTGTTTATATAATTTTTGAAAAATTCCAATATTTCAAGTTTATTAAAATTTTAATTGAAAATTTCAAAAATCGATAATTCATTTTTTAAAAAGATTTTTTAATTGAAAATTCTCTATTATTTATAATTATTTTTAAAAATGTAATTTAAAATTCTTCGATAAATTAATTTTTTAAATTATTTTAATACATTTCAACAATTTGGGGAAATAAAGAGTTTTTTAATTAAACAAAATCTAAAATTCTATTATTCTTTACAGTTTGTAAAAAAAATTTTATAAATTAAAATATTTGAAAGTTTTAATTTAAAATCTTCTCAATTTTAATTACTGCCAACTCGAACAATTCCAAATTCAATTAGTAATTAAATAATTAATTGTGTTAATTCAATTGAAAAATTTTTTCCCACATTTTTATTTATATAGTTCTTTGTTTAATTAATTATTTCAACAGTTTTAATCCAATTTTTCAAAAATTCAATTACTTAAATCGTTTTTTGATTAATGTTCATATTTACAATAAAATTAAAAGTTTTTAAATCTCAAAAAATGCAATTATTTCTAAAAATCTTAAGTGTATCTCTCCATAAAAATTCAATTATTTAGAATATATTTCAGTTGAAAATTCTCTAAAATTTAATTATTGTCTGAAATTTGTAAAAATTCCATTAATTCAAATTTATAAAAGTTTCAATTGAAAATCTCGTGAAATTTAATTATTTCTAAAAATTTTTAATCATACTTTCCAAATTCAATTATTTTAAAAATTTTAATTAAAAATCTTCTGAAATTCAATTATTTCACAAATTTTTATTTAAAATTATTTTTCTTTTTTCAATAATATTTTAATCAAATTCTTTGAAAATTTAATTATTTAAAACATTTTCCGAAATTCTGAATTCGAATAATGTACGTGCATAAATCAAAATTTTCTTTTTTTTTTAATTTAACTTTAAATTATTTTTGAAAATTTGTACTGAAACTGAATTGAAATCTTGAAAATTTGTCTCACTTTAATTCGGTGGTTTAAAAAGAAAAATTTGTTGAAAATATTTTTGTAAAACATTCTTATTAAGGAATTAATAAATTTTATTTATTTTCTATTAATAAATTGTTAATAATAATAAAATATTTATCAACTAATTAAATTTATTGTACGAATTGTTGTTAAAAGAATTTTAAAAATTTTTATTTAACCGAAAATCCAATTGATCGAACAAAAAATTGATTTCGGCACAATTTTAAAAATTGTCCAATCACAATTTTGTTGATAATTTCTGATTTATGAATTTTAAAAATTGTGTCGAAATCTTTCTGTCTATTGTTTGTTTGGAAATTTGGAATTTCGGAGAAATGAAGAGTCGTTGTTTGAAGAAAATAACAAAAAAAAAAAAAATAATAATAACAATCAAATAACAAAAGCTAAAAATTCTGTTAAGTAAGAATTCGTTTAAAGAAAATTTGTTTATGCTAATTCGAAAAATAAAAATTCATCTAAAAAATAATTAATATCTAATAAAATTCAACCTAAGCAAAAAAAAATTACAAGTCCTATATAATTAATACAATTTTGTGCAGATTAAAGAAGGCCTCGTCAATGTTCGAAATAAATTAAAAGTAGGCGATGTTCGTGACGCTTCGAATTTCATTGGTGCCGTTATTGACAAACGAGCATTTGACAGAATTTCTGGCTACATTAAACATGCGAAACAATCATCAGATTTAGAAATTATCGCTGGTGGTGGTTTCGATGATTCGTAAGTTATTTTGTTTACTATATTTATTTTTAAGAAATAATCCGACGGACGAGTCAAAACACTTCACACTTTTAAAAACATTGTTCTTTTTTATTTCAAAATTAAGTTGAACTAACTTTTGTTTCGATTGTTTATCTGATGTATTTTTTTAAATTCTCTCTTCTTTTCTTTTTTATTGCATAAATTTGTAATTTTAAAAATTAATTTTAAATTTCAAATAGATGTGGATATTTCATTGAACCAACGATAGTTGTGACAAAAAATCCTCATGATAAAATTATGACTGAAGAGATTTTTGGACCAGTTATCACTATTTATGTCTATAAAGATGCAAAATTAGATGAAACATTGAAATTGGTTGAGTCTTCCACGCCTTTTGCTCTCACTGGAGCAATTTTCACACAAGACGAGTAAGAATTTTTTTTTATATATAACTATTATTATTTTATATATTCTAAAATCGAAATATTAATAATTTTTTTAAACATTTTTTTCCAGAAATTGGGCAAAAGAAGCGCTAAATGAATTGAAATATACAGCGGGCAATTTTTATATAAATGATAAATCAACTGGTTCGGTTGTTGGACAACAACCATTTGGTGGTAGTAGAATGTCTGGTACAAATGATAAAGCCGGTGGGCCACATTATGTTTTACGATGGGCAAGTCCTCAATCTATTAAAGAAACTTTTGTACCTTTAAAAGAATACGATTATCCCTATATGAGAAGTTAGACTCGAAATAATTTTTATTTCTTGAAAGTTTATTCTTAGAGAGAAAAAAAAAGAATAAGATTAAAAAAATGTGACTGCATTTTTAAGATTTGATTCTGCGTACTAAAAAAAAAACTCAGTATTTTTATCTATATATAATAATGCAAAAAAGAAAAAAAAAACCCGAATTTACGCTTATTAAAACGGAAGGAGGCATTTCTTCTATTTATTAATTTCTTTTTTATTAATAATTGATTTTTAATGAAGAAAATATATATAAGGAAATGTATTCCTGCAACAAATCCTCTTCCGGAAGACAATAAATTAAAATCTTAAATTCTGAATAAATTTTTCCTAAAACTGATTTATTTTTGAAAAAGTGTTTCTATTAATGACAAAACCATGTTAATTGACAATATTATAAATTTACAAAATTTTTTTTTTTTTTGAGAAAATTTGACAATTCAGAATTTTAGATTTTGAAAAATGTCTAATGGAAAATGGAAAAAATCGCATATTGCGTACAGATCTCTTATATTGTGTTCACAACTTGACTGTCAATGAACGTATTTACCAAAAACGAAAAAATTACAAATTTCTCAAAAAAAAAAACTACTTTTCGCATTATAATATTTTCGTTTCTGTTAAACAGATAATTATGAATTCCCCTTCCAGCGATATCTCATAATAATATAGAACAAGACAATATCAAAACTGTTTTTAAGATTAATAGGCTCACTTATAAAACGCATGTGTAAGTTTTGTAAAAATTTGTACAAATCATACTAATGTTAAAAAAAAAATAATAGTCAAAAAGTTAAGAGTAGTCAACAAATGATGTTACAACAATTTAAGTGAATACAAATTTTTAAAACTATTTTTTATCATTTCTCCAATGAAGAAAGCGTTGAAAAAAAACTAATTTTTATATTGAAAGCTCATGGACTTTTTTCTTTTAAAAATATTATTGAAAAAAAATACTTTAATAATATTGAAATAATGTTAATGAAGATAGATAATTTTTTAATTGAATTTTTTTTAAAATTACTTTATAAACGATATCGTGTTTTTATTAAAAAAAAAAAAGGAAAACAAAAAAAATTGTTAACAATATATACACGTTTTCATTAAAATTGTTATGAAAATACATCAATAATGAATTTCAATAGAGTATCCAAATGAAATAGAATTTATATTGAATCTCACGCAACTGATAAGATATTTCGTTCGATAAGTCGACGATAGGCATTGTGGCTGTTATACAATTAATTTTAACTGTAAATCGTATAGCAATAAACTATTTAATAAAAACAAGAGTAAAAATTTTTATTTTTCTTTCATAAGTTCTTTATTTCTATTTGAAAAAAATTATATAGAATTTTCTTATAGCCGATTTTTTTTTTCTTAAAATTTGCATTTAATAGAATTTTTTCTTAAACGAATTTTTACTGCATTTTTCGCTTTATCCAACTGTTTATTTAAAAAAAAAAATTTATTTTAACCGAATTTTAATAATAGAATTTCAATTTTACCGAAATTTTATTTACACGAATTGTGATTGTAAATCATAACGATTAGAATTTAATTATTCAATCCAAGAAAGTTATTGCGCAACAAAACCTAATTCTTTTCATCTTGAGTTTCCATTGATATTTTTCTTTTTCTGCATACCAAATTTTTATCCTTGCGTATTTTCTTTCCATCTTCAGTTTTTATAGATAATTTTTTTTTTTTGCGCTCTTTCTTTTTTATTTCTGTTTTATTACGATTACGTTTTCTCAATCTCTCATTCTCCTGTCTTATTATTTTCTGCTCATATGTAACTTCGCGCCTTGCCTTCCTTTTTCTTCCCTTCTCTTTAATTGCTCGATTTACCTTTTTATCATTTTCTTTACTTAGAAAATTTTTTCATTTTTAAATATTCATGTGGTGAAATTTTGTTCACATTATTATCAGTTGTACGAATTATTTTCTTTTCACTAGTGTCATTTAGAGAATGTTTAATTTTTAAATCTTGTGTTAATAGAACTCTGTTAATATTATTACTGGGAATATACACGGAGAAAATCTGAAAGCAATGAGTATTTTTTCTCATAGCACTGGCTACTGTGTAAACCAAAAAATTAAATTTCAAAACTCTGAATGTTCTCCACACAGCACTGAATGCTCTGCAGAAAATAATCACAACTTTTTTTGACTGTAAACAGAGTTTCGTTTCATATTAGTTGCCAATAGATTATTCAGAACTACAAATGTAGCAATAAATTCTTTGCTCGAAGTCGTGACTGCTGTTCTCACAGCTCTGAGTACTGTGCAGAATTATTTTTTAGAATTTAGAAAACAAAGGAACGTTTAACGTCAATTTAAAAGAAGATAGCCATGGTTATTTTTTCTTTTCAAATATTAATTTTAATTGACATGTTTATAAACAGTTAATGAATAGTAGATATAAAGAAATGAAGACTTCAAAAAGTCTTTTTGAAAACTATCGCTTTTTTTAATTTTTCAGTTATGTAGCAAATAAAGTTATTATACAATAATGAAATAATAAATAATTATTTTTAAAATGAATATATACAGATATATGAATATTTTTTTTATTTTTAAAACAAAAAGGAAGAAGATTAAGATTTTAGACGATGATGTTCTTATGCCATTTTCAATCGTCTAGATAGAGAAACGCAATGTTAAACAAAGAAGTACTTATGTTATATTCCTTGGTGTAAGAAAGAAAGGTATGCGTTACCTTTTCAGTTTTAGACTTTCTTTATAGCTTTTTCACGTGATAAAGGGAGAAAGCAATAAATTACCTGGGTCCTCAGAGTTATTAATTAATCCTCTTTAACAGATTGCAGGTCAAGCGAACCCTCATTTGCAAAATAAAGATATATCTTTCTCTCTCCATAACTTGTTCTTCTCTCTGTCACCGAAAACCCAGCAAGGGTCCGGACGTAATAAGTGAATGAATGAATGAATACCAAGATTATTATAGTTAATTTTTCCCCACAAAATAGACCTCCCGAGAGTGCAGAAGAGGGTGCCCAATGATGTGGAGAAGCAGTAACTTGCAGTCCGCCTGACCCAAATAACACTCCAATGGAACTTGGAGAGTTAGTAAGGACGGCTTTGTGTGGAATTTCTGCTTCCACATCGAAGTGTCACCCACCCGTACAATTGTACAGGCGTAATGCGTTCAAAAATCCCTCTTTAGTCGCCTCTTACGACACGCGATGGGTTACGGGAGGACTATTCTTGAACCGGTCATCCACGGTTGATTTGCACATAAGCCTAACATCAAGACAGACCTACTGCGTTCAAAACCCTTTTCCTCCGCCGAAATGGAGTCCCCGAGCTTATGATCAAGAATGGAAAAACGCCTCTGATAGCATAGAATGTCTTGTGATTCTTTTTTTTCCCCCACAAGATAGACGATACCCCAGAGCTGCAGTTTCTCCAAACTTGCGCTTAAGTCGTCTAAGCTGACTGGGATGCCTGGATCCATGAAAGACTATATTCCCAATGTTAAAGCAATATTTACTTTTCAACGAAATTATATTAGAAGACATAGAAAAATGATTTGGCTAGTCTCCTCACTAACGATATGTTCCGAAGGGGAGCGAGGATGGAAAAATTGCCGCTATAAGGTCTTAAGACCAAAGCGATGTTGCTGCAGTTGTTTCAGTTAAAAAATCTTTTTTTATACGAAGTTAGGTATTATATCACTGATCTCTATATACCTCTGGATAGGCAATGGCATTAGAGGAACGTTGAAAGCCTATCTGCCATCTTTGATTGTATGAATTAATTAAATATGTATAATTACATGAAAATGTAAATAATTTTACAGATGCAACATTTTACCAAATTGTACAAATGAAGACCTTTGTTATACCTGAAAAGAAAAAAAGTAGAATAATTTTTCGTTTGTTTAAAGTAAAGAAATACATACGTATATGAGAGATAAAAATAATATTTCTTTGATAAGAAAAAAAAACAAAAAGACATTTTCATAAAATAACAAATAAATAAATACAAAAAGATATCTTAAATAAAAAATACAAAAATTTATAACATTTTGTAAATGTAACAGGTAAAAAATATAGCAAATAGAAAATATAAAAAAAATATAATTCCGATGTGGTGCATAAAAAATAATGTAAAATACACAGAATTATGCAGAAATGACAATATACAAATTTAAAAAAAAATAAATAAAAAATAGGAAAAATTAATAAAATTTATGAAGGTAAAGCTATTTATAAAATGCAGTCAAAAACTATTCCGTAAACGTTTTGGATTAAGCTTTTTAACCTGAGTAAATCCGGATTACTATTTACTGATTTTCTAACTTAAAATTCCGCTGAATTATTCTAGACTCGTTTCAAATTATGTTTTTTAATTGAACTAAATTAAGATTGTTGCTCATTTTTTCAGAATCATTTTCGATATATTATCGTCAAATTTTTGGATTAATTTGTATTCTAACCTGTTTTGATTTCATCCAGAAAGTTCAAAATTTCAGGCAGAGTTCCCCCTTCACTCTTCCGTGACTGCTGGAAACAATTTAATTAGTAGACTATTTTAATATTCACAGTAAAGTTTTTCAGCAACTCTCATACAGTGCAAGATGTTTATTTACATAAAGTACAATTTATTCAAATACAAAAAAAAAATTGCACTCCTTTTTAAATTAGAAAATTAATACTTTATTTAATTTAAAACTGAATTAGTAATAATAACTTTTTCATCTTTTGGATATTCTTAAAAAAAATTCAGCTGAAGTCTACAATGTCAAATCTAAGGATATTGAAAATTTAGTCTTTTATGGAAATAGCAGATTATATCTGCAATTTATTGTGTGTTTCCAAGTAGATTGTATGCAGAGTAAGCTGATTTGATGATCTGAAAATCAAGAAAAAGTGTACTCTATAAAAACACTTTTTTTTCAAAACGAGCGGAGAAATAATTTTCAAAACTAAATTAGATCAAAAAAAAAAATTAGAAATATTTTCAGATACAAAAATATACAAACATTCATAAATGTTCTTATTGACATTACAATAACAGATGAACCAGATAATTGTATGGGTTTCGTTGTACGCATCATCATAACAGCAAGATCTCTTTTTGTTTTATTTGAAAAATCAGTCCAATTCATTTCATAAATTGCATCTGTAACTGCTGTACTCTACTTATATAATAGATTCAAATTTGAGAAATTAATTTTTATTATAAATATAATTATTATATATAGTAAAATATATTTATTTAATGACGATTACAATAATATTTATCACCTTTTGAATAAGTTTTTCTCCATATAGACAATATAGAAATGTCTGTGTCAATGAAGAACCTACAGAAGCTACCATCATCCAATACGTCGGATTTTGTGCATTTAATCTTGTTAATTGATAAGTAATAACACAAATACTTATAATTGATGCAAAAAATTGTACAAAAATAACCAAACCAAATAAGTCATTTAACATTGTTCCCAAGCTATAAAATTTCACATTATTAAATTTTATTGATTGCATCTGTTCTGTTATTTTCTACCGACGTTTGAATCAAGTTTGGAGTTTTTTCTAACTATACGGAAAAATTTATCTGCTTTTATATAATTATCACTTACGAATAAACATGCGTGTGATGTTTCATACAATCTTTCAAAACTTTTGATTCTTGTAGACATAAATTGATATTAGAATTTTTTTTAGCAGACATTTTTGAAAGTGATTGAAGTCTATGTATGCAAATTTCAAGTTGCGCACAAATTTGTAACATTAAAGTTAATGCAAATCCATCAACTGAAGCTATTATGTAAGCTGACATTAAAACAGCAATTGTTTGATAAAAATATGTAAAACAAAACATTGATTTAATATCCAAATTATAAGGATACCATCCTTTTAATGGAAGAGCTAGATTATTTCTTTTTAATAGAGGAGACATTGAAGTTGTTGCAGCAGTTATACTAAAAGCAACTAGAAATATAACAATTTTCCATCTGTAAATGTTTTTTTAATTAGATATTAAGAAAGAAAAAATATTTTTGGGTGGTGAAATTCTTGCGAAAGCAAAAAAGTTTAACAGTTTTTTTTTTCTATTTTTAACTTAGGTAATTGTAGTTATACCTGCAATCTTTTGAGCACTTTTCAAGTATATTCCATTCATAAAAATCTCTAGGTCGACAAAAGCTAACTAGAAGTTTGTTTTTAGATTCAATTACCGTTCTTCGTTTAGCTATAATATTCAGCTGTTTAATAAAAATAGCAACACTGTAAAGAAAGTAATATAAATATTCTGTAAAAATATTCATATCATCGGATACACGAAGAAGATACACGAACAATGATACTGAGAATGAAAAATAAAAAATAATCATAAAGATAGAATAAATTTGATACAACCAAATTTTCCATCTTGAATTCCAAGTTATTGGCTGCCACATTCCAAATATATAAAAAAGTGTGAATGAAATTTCACCAGTGTAGATTTGGTCTATATTTTGATGAAGCATCTTTTATTAATTTTTGCTATTTCAACCGTTATTGGAAAGTTATTAATCAGAAAGTTGTCTTTATATTTTACTTCGAAATTTGTAAAATATTTAGTCTAATGTGAAAATAAAAATAAAAATTGAAAGTACAGTACTGGGAAATATTTTATTATCATCTCTCTATAAAGATTTCTTAAAGAGTGCGTGATATTTTTTTTTTCTATAAAATTTTTCGAAACCCTCTACTTATAAATAATTCTGTACTTCCATCTATAAGAGGGTTGAAACAAGTAACGACATTTTTTACTGCACCCTTTTGACAATCAATAATATTATAAACTCTTTCTCTCATGGAATCCGTATTGCAGAAAAATTCACCTATATAATTATGTTTCGATCTATGCATAAGAAAAATTACCTTCTTACAAAATAATGCGCACAAAGTTCATTTTATCTTCCGTTGATTTTGAATCGTCAAACAAAAAATTTTTTTCAACTTTTCTCTGAGAAATACTTGCAATTTAGATTAAAAAAGCTTCTTTACACAAGGTTTGAAAATAAAATATAATAATTTATTATAAAATAATTTTTTTTTCCATAGAATTTTTTTTTATAGAAACCTTTTTCAATTTGTAGTATACTAATGCCTCCGTTTAGTCACAGTTATATTTTTTTAGAAGTACTAAGCATTTTTGAGAAGATTATACGCTGAATAAGCTGATTTTATTATCTGCAAAGTGATATATGGCAAAATATTTAATCCGTTTTTTATTTCATAATTTTAAAGATCTAAATTATTTTTTTAAAATTCTGTTTAAAATTGATGAAACCAACTTTTACAAATGTTTTTATGGTCATTACAGCAACGGATGTACCAGTTAATTTTATGGGATGAATAGCTCGTGTCATTATGATTAGAAGATCTTTTTTTGTTCTGTTCGTTAAATTAATCCAATTCATCTGCTGAACTGCATCAGCAACTGCTGTACTCTAATTTGTATTGTAAAAGAATTATTGATTTGCATTCTTATATTTATTGACAATAAAGTTATGTTTAAGTTATTTTTGATTTTTAATTATAGCTAAAGGGCTAAAATTTTTAGACTATAAACTTTTTTTTTTAGTGGATCTTCACCTTTTGTATAATTTTCTCTCCATAGAAGCAATAAAGAAAACTCTGTGTTATCACACTGCTAATGGAAGCTACCATCCTCCAATATGTTGGATTAGACATGTTTAGCCTCGATAATTGATAGACAATTGCACAAAGACTAATCATTGATGTAAAAAATTGTACAAATATTATCAACCCAAATAAATCATTTAATTCTTTTCCTAATCTGAAAACAATTCATTGCTGTTGATAAAAATTTCGGACTAATCTAAAATTAGTCCAAAAAATAGTCCGGTTTATTGTCAGGTTTTTGTTATCCGAAATTAGTACAGCTAATTCCAAAAATTTTTGCCGATTTATGTAACTAGTGAAACCGGAATTAATCAGGTCTAATCCGAAGTCAGATTTTTGCATTTACAGGCCTCGGATCGACTTAAAGGCACAAAAAAAGTCGTTTTAGTCGATTTATATTCCAAAAAAGTCGAAAAAGTCTATTTTTTTTATTTTAACAAAAATATTTTACAGATTTTTAAATAAAATTATATTTTAAATAATAATAATTTTGAAAAGTTTAAAGTTGAAATTTTTGGAAATAATTGAATTTCAAAAGATTTTGTTAATTTTCAGCCAATAATTAAATTTTACAGAACTAAAAATAATTTATCAAACAATTTTAAATAACATTTTTTAAATGTAATTGAATTTTCATAGATTTACAATTGAGATTTTTGAAATTAATTGAACTTCAAGTGACTTTTAATTAAATTTTTTTTTAAGATTTCACTAAACAATTTATTAGAAATTACGGACAAAAATACAACAATTTGAGAACCATTTTTAATTGAAAAATGGTTTCAGAAAGTTGAATTATTAAAGAATATTATAAAAATAGTTAAAAATAATTTAATTTCCAGAGAGTTATAATTGAAATTATTAAATTACAAAAATTTTTCGATGGAAAATTTGAGAATCTTTTAAATTAAAATTTTTGAAAATAATTGAATTTCAATTGAAATTTTAGACAATAAATGAATTTCAGTTGATTTTTGATTTAAAATTTTAATAATTAATTTTGAATTGAAAATTTAGAAAATAATTGAATTTTAGTTGATTTTGAATTGAAATTTTTGAGAATAATTAAATTTTAGTTGATTTTGAATTGAAAATTTTGAGAATAATTAAATTTTAAAAGATTTTGAATTGAAAATTTGGAAAATAATTGAATTTTAAAAGATTTTGAATTAAAATTTTTGAAAATAATTGAATTTTAGTTGATTTTGAATTCAAATTTTTGAAAATAATTGAATTTCAATTGAAATTTTAGACAATAATTCAATTTCAGTTTATTTTTGATTTAAAATTTTGAATTGAAATTTTAGACAATAATTAATTTTGAATTGAAAATTTTGAGAATAATTAAATTTTAAAAGATTTTGAATTGAAAATTTGGAAAATAATTGAATTTTAAAAGATTTTGAATTAAAATTTTTGAAAATAATTGAATTTTAGTTGATTTTGAATTCAAATTTTTGAAAATAATTGAATTTCAATTGAAATTTTAGACAATAATTCAATTTCAGTTTATTTTTGATTTAAAATTTTGAATTGAAATTTTAGACAATAATTAATTTTGAATTGAAAATTTTGAGAATAATTGAATTTTAATTGATTTTGAATTGAAATTTTTGAGAATAATTAAATTTTAGTTGATTTTAAATTGAAAATTTGGAAAATAATTAAATTTTAAAAGATTTTGAATTGAAAATTTTGAAAGGATTGAATTTTAGTTGATTTTGAATTGAAATTTTTGAAAATAATTGAATTTCAATTGAAATTTTAGACAATAACTCAATTTCAGTTGATTTTTGATTTAAAACTTTGATAATAATTAATTTTGAATTGAAAATTTTGAAAATAATTGAATTTTAATTGATTTTGAATTGAAATTCTGGTAATTTTATTTGAAATTATTGAATTTGTGATGAATTTCAATAAAATTATTAAAAATAATTTATTTAGTGATAAGTTTTAGTTAAAAGTTTGTTAAATAATTGAAATAAAGAAGATCTGAAGAAGATCTGCATTTTATACTAAAAAAACGTATTTTATTTAAAAAAAAATTTTTTTAATGTAAAAAAAGTCGCATTTTATTAAAATAAGTCGAAGAAAGTCGTATTTCTGAAAGAAAAGTCGGAAATAGTCGGAAAAGTTGTGTAATCAGTGGCCTGCATTTATTAATTGTGTATGATCCGATTAATTTCGGACTCATTTTGGATTGTATTACTTGTAAGTTAAATAAAACCAAATCATATAGATCAGAATTTCGCCTAAGAATATTTTAATTACAAATTAATACCAGATATAATACCAGATTTTCCATATAAAGATATCAGATTATTACGGACTTATGGCAGATTCATTTTTTGCCAAATACTTAATCCGGATTGTTGCATTTACTGTTTGCGGATAGTTTACATAAAAATTCTGTATTATTCTGGTCTCATTTTGGATTGTTTTTTGATATAACTAAAATCAAATTGTTAACGGATAATTACGGATTTATTTCATATCAATTTCGGACTGATATCTTAGATTTATCATTTCATTCAGACTTATTGATGACTAATACGTATCATTTTCAGATTGTTTTCATACAATTTCTGAACTAATCCGAACTGTATGTATATATTTAATCTGTCTGTATGTAATCTGAAATCAGTCCGAAATTTTAATTAGCGTCAATAAAGAATTCGGATTGTTGTGGACTAATTTCATAAAAATTCCCAATCTAATTGTGGCATTTCTAAGTTTGATTTTTATTTTTACAAGGTGCTGTTAATTCTATTTAAAAAAAAAACTTACGAATAAATATGTGTATGATGTTTTATACAATCTACAACAAGTCTTTTTTCATAATCAAAATTTTGCTTTTTCTGTAAGCTGGGAAGTAGGTGAAGTCGATGAGATATTATTTCCAGCTGTGCACAAGTTTGAAGTATAATTGTTAGCGCCAAACCTTCAACACAAGCTGATGTACATGCTGCCATTAAAATAGCAATTGTTTGAAATAAATATGTCAAGCAAAATGAAGCTCTAGATTCCAGTGTGTAGGGATGCCATCCTGATAAAGGAAGAGTTATTTCCTTTCCTTTTGTAAATGGGGATAAAACTGCAACTATCGCTGTGATACAAAATAACATCAGGAAGATTATTACGTTTGACCTAAACAAATTTTATAAAGTAAATTTAAAATTCTTTTTTTTCCTCATCAACACTGCTTTCTTATACATTTTCAGCAAAATCTTTAATTAGAAATTAAATTTGAAAAGTATTTTCAATTGTAAGATTGTTTTGTGTAGAATTTAACAAAAAATTAAATACGAAATTATTTGCTATTAAAGTACTTTTAGTTTAAGAAACCAATGTGTTAAAAATTGAAACAATAATTGGAAATGATAAGTATTACCTGCAGACTTGTGAACGTTTCTGCAGTATTTTCAATTCATGTAGATCACGCGGTTGACAAAGTTTATCTAAAAATTTTTCTTTCAACTCAATAATAATTTTACGTTTTATCATAATACTTATTTGTTTAATAAATACAGCGAATATAGCAAGAAAATTGTATAAATTTTCAGTGAAACTATCAGTATTTTTTGATACTTTAATAAGGTACATTAAAAGTGAAAATGTAAATGTAATGTAAATTGAAATCATAAACATTGAATAAAAATGGTATAACAAAATTTTACATTTAGAATTCCAATTTGAAGGCATCCACAGTCCAAAGAATGAAAATAGTGTAATTGAAATTTGACCTGTGTAAAGTTGGAATTCATTTTGAATAAACATTATTGTTATAAAAATTTTGAAAATAAATCGCAAAGTAAATGTTTATGAATTTATTTATAACTAATGGGTGATTATTCTGAGTGATCATGAGAATGCTACAATAATTTCCAATGAATACTTTTACTTAGTATTAGTAAAAGTGATGAATGAAAAAAATATAAAGTTCCAATCCATTTGGAGGAAACTTCAAGCAATACTTTTTTTTCATAAACATTTCTTTCAATTTTTCCCTTTCGATGCAAGTTAATAATTCAGAAATGTCGTTTGTGAAAGGGTGAAAAATAAGTCTAGTAGCATGATATCTTGACTAATAATAAAAATTCAAATGCCTTCACGAGAGTCAAGTTTTTTTTTGCAATACAGAATTATTACTCTATAATCAAGCATCGATCTGTGCATATTATAAACGGGTATATTGTACTTAGTCATTTTTCACAGAATTTGTTTCACAATTTTTTAATAGATTTTTGTTAACCTTTTGTAAGTGATATGCAAGATTATTTTAAAACTATAAATTCATTCAAGGGATTAATTTTGAAGTGATTAGTTGATAGCTACAAATTTTTCTGTTGAACATTATTTTTAAATTTTATTTATTAATCTAAATATATAATTTCATTAACATTGGATTATAGTAGGTTTAGATTTTGATTTTTTCAGAAATAACACTTATAACATAAAATTATAATTAGAAAGCACTGTTCAGCAAGTTGTACGCAGAGTATGCAGATTTTGCGATCTGAAAAACAGATTAACAAATTTTTTCATTGAGTTTCAAAAATCAAAAAATTCGTTCTGACTTTTACAAAACTCGATATATTTTCATACAAAAAAAAATTGTCCGATTCGAATTGATTTTGATAACCCGAAAGTGTTATTACACAAAAAATTCTAATATCTATATAAAAAAAATTAACTTAATTTAAATTTTATATACAAACTTTTACAAATGTCTTAAATGACATTGTAATAACAGATGAGCCATTCAACTCTATTGGTCGAGCCGCTCGTGTCATCATAATTAGAAGAGCTTTTTTTCCTCTATTCGTCAATACAGTCCAATGCATTTGCTGAATAGCATATGTAACTTCCGTGCTCTAAATCGGTTTGTAATTAGGTATTATAAAAATGGAAATGGAAATTATGGAAATTGGTGTAACTAAAAAATATATAAATAGTATTACCAACCTTTTCCATAATTTTCTGCCCATAAAAACAATAAAGAAAAGTTTGTGTAATTACACTGCCCATACAAGACAACATTAGCCAATAAGTTGAATTACTTAAGCTCAAATTTGTTAATTCATAGACAACTGCACAAAGACTTATCATAGATGAAAAAAATTGAGTAAAAATAACAAATCCAAAAATATTGTTTAATTGCTGTCCTAACCTAGAAAATAATATACTCACAATATCCGGCTATATCACAGACACTCCGGACAAAAATCTGAATCCGAAATAATTAATTTGTACAAAAGAAATTAAATGGGCATTTGTTCACCATCAGCCTAAATTCAGATTCTTGTAGACTAATACCAATTTTTTTTACATACAGATTTAGCATTAAAATTTTTTACCTGAAGAATTTTTAATTGTTTCCGTCTGCGGATTTTGATGACAATAAAGCAGACTGTTTTAAACTGATACAAGATTAATTTCTAATAAATTCGAAATTGTATAAAATCAATTCGAAAAATGGTTCGCATTACTGATTGAATTCCCAGTCAGTAGGGACGAAAAGTAAAAATTCAAGATCAGTATGGAATTTCTATAAAATCAGTCTACAATGAGTTTGAAATAATCTCTATGTGAAAAATACGATTTCCAATTCAAAATTTAGTTTGGTCAAATATCCTAATTCGAAAAATGTCCCGAAAAATCCCCACAAAAATCTGAATCCAAAAAGAGTCTGAAATATTCAAAAATCTACAAGTAAGGAATCTGCATTTAGTGCACAACAGTTTGTACTTCTTCCATAAACTAATTTCGAATTTAACTACGAACTACATTGAGACAAAGTAAAGAAAAAAATTAATTAAAAAATAACAGATAATAAAAATGATGCAATGGATTATTTTAGACTCATTTCGGATTTAGATTCCTAAACGTATTGGATCGAGATTATCGTATGAAAATACTCCAAAAATGATTTATCTGCAATCAGTACAAATGAAAAGGTAAATCTAAGATTAAAACGAAAGAGTTTTGAATTTTTATAAAATCAGTTCGCAACAATACGAATTTAGTTAGATAAAACTTAATAATAATGCGGAATTTGTATACGGATTTACTCTGTTCAAACTAAATCTAAAATAAGTTGAAAAAAATCCAGAATTTGTATGTAAAAAAATCAGCAAACACTCAGCACAAAAATCTGAATCCGAAATGATTAAAAATCTGTATAACAGCAATTAGATTGGCACTTTTTCGTCAGCCTAAATTCAAATTCCTGCAGACTAGTACCAAATTTTTACATACAGATTTTGCATTAAAATTTTTTGCCTAAATAATTTTGAATTGTTTCTGTTTGCGGATTTTGCAGATAAAAACTTTGAAATAATTTTGGATTCAAATATTTGACCGGAACTAATCTTGACTACTGCGAGCTGAATTCAGATTATGATAAATTCAACTCTTTAACTCAATACAGATTAAGATTTTTGTGCAGAGTAACTGCAGAATGTTGCTGATTAATTTCGAATTTTTTATATAAGAGTTCTGAATTATTTAAAATTTTTTTTGTACTATGATTTTTTAGTCGACTAAATCCGAATTGTTGGATTCAATACAGATTTCTTAGAAACAGATTTCAGATTATTTCGGATTCGGATTTTTGTGTAGTCTATTTATTGATTTCATACAAAAAAGAAATTCCGTATTTCTCGGGACTCATTTTGGATTAAGTTTTTTTTTTACCGATTGTTGGGGATTAATACCGGATTTTTACAAAACGATTTTGTATTATTCCAGACACATTTAGAATTGAGTTTTTTTTATCCAACTAATTTTGGGTTTGTAGATTTTGTACCTACAGATTCCGGAGTAATTAATTCTTTCAGAATTAAAATTTTGTCGAAATTCGTATTGTAACAAAACTGATTTCGAATTTTCTCGATTCTAATTGTGGGCACATTTCGGAATCAAAATTTTGACTGCAATTGTTCCAAACTGTTGGACGATAAATACAGATTTCTGTGGGATTATTTAGGACTTATTTCTGTTTAATATTTTGAGTGGAATAATCGCAGATTTCTTCTACATACAAATTTCTGATTATTTCGGACTCTTTTCGGATTCACATTTTTGTGCAGACTGTCTTTATGTTGTACAAACAAATTCGAATGCAAATGAATTCGTACGATCTGTACGAATTGGTATCAGTATAAAATTTTAGCAAAGGGAGGCTTAAGATAAAATTTGTAAAACTCAACTTTTGGAAAATGCATTCAAAATTTGTATCGTTTTTTTTAAATTTAATAAATACCACTTACAAATAAATATGTATATGATGTTTTGTACTATCCGCAATGAGTCTCGTTTCTTCTATCGAAAATTCAGAATATGATCTATAATTTTTTAGTAGATAAGGAAGCAAATGAAGTCGATGAAAAAGTAAATCCAATTGAGCACAAATTTGAAGTACAAATGTTAAAACTAAACCCTCGACAGATGCTGATGTACAAGCAGTCATTAATAGAGCCATCGATTGAAAAGCATATGTTAAAGAAAATAAAGTTTTCGATTCTAATTGATAGGGACACCACGCTGCAATTGGAAGTGTCATATTCATTCCTTTTATTATTGGAGACACCACTGCTACAATTGCAGTGACATTCAATAAAATAAGAAAAATTATTCCATTTAACCTATTTTAAAAAACTAAATTTTTGAATTATACAAAATTAAAACTATACAAATATTATTATGTTTATCCACTTACTTGCAAATTTGTGATTGTTTCTGTAAAATTTCCATTTCATAAGAATCACGTGGTTGACATAATTTATACAAAAGTTTGTCTTGTAAATCAATAATGACATTACGTTTTATAATAATTGTAATTTGTTTAATTAAAATAGAGAATATTGCAAAAAAATAATATAAATTTAACATGAAACTATCAATATTCTCCCAAACATTTTTAAAATACATAAACAATGTAAATGTGAATGTTGTGTAGAAAAATACCATAAAATTCGAATAAATTTGATATAAACAAATTGTCCATTTAGTATTTAAATTAACAGGTTGCCAAAATCCAAATAGGGACAAAAGTATAATTGAAATTTGACCCGTATAATGTTGGGTTTCATTTTGAATTATCATTTTCTATCGAAAAAATTATTTTCTTTAGAGAAGATTAAATAAATTTTTAGATTCAAATACTTTGGCATTATTAAACGAATTTAGTAATAAATAAAATTCAAAACGAAACGATTTATCAAGCATGATATCAGTTTAATTAATCGTAGACGTAAACAGCAGAAATTAATGATAAAAGTTACAAACGTTCTGCATTATACTATAGATATTGTAATATAGAGATAAATTTTTTTTTCAACTTCTATGATTCTCCCTTTTGATACAGATTCGTTAATAATTTAAAAACTTCGCTTTAAAAAAAGGGTGACTTATTGTCGAACGATATTGTCTATTATTGTCATAAATAATTCTGAAACTTGTATGGGAATCTATCTCTCTGGAAAAAAAAATTGTCTTACAAATTTCGATCGAATGTTAAAGAAGGCTATTCCTTAAAGTATATTAAAAGAAGTTTTTTTTCTTTTGTAATCAATATCTTGTAGAGACTTTCATTAAGTTAAAAAATACGCATAGCTTTTAAACACGGGAAAGTAAAAATATTTTACAAACTGTATTTTTATTTGTGCCAAAAAAATCCAGAAAAAATTTTTACGAATTGCAACAGTAAATAAAAAGGATTTTATATCCTAGGACAAAAAAAGTTATGTTACTTTTACAAATACCTTTTCAATAATAGGATATAACAGAAGGTTCGAATTATTAGAAGTTACTTTATATTTATTAATTGTAACTTATTCGTTATTAACCTTTTACTAATACACTCGGTGATTTGGATCCACGACAATTAGTGCGCAACAATACGAATTCAAATCATAACAAAATTAATCCGAAATCAGTCTTCAATGATTCGGAATTCGTATGTAGGCAATCTGCAAACAGAACGCAACAAACCAAATTTACTCTGAACAAAAAACTGAATACTAAATCTTTTTGTGAAAAATCCGATATTATTTCACAACAATCAGGATCCGGAATTTGTTTCTACAACATAAGGACAGTCTGCACAAAAATGTGAATCCGAAAAGAGTCCGCAATAATCAGAAATTTGTATGTAGAAGAAATCTGCGATTATTCCACTCAAAATATTAAACGGAAATAAGTCCTAAATAATCCGACAGAAATCTGTATTTATCGCCCAACAGTTTGGAACAATTGGAGTCAAAATTTTGATTCCGACATGTGCCCACAATTAGAATCGAGACAATTCGAAATCAGTTTTGTTACAATACGAATTTCGACAAAATTTTAATTCTGAAAGAGTTAATTACTCCGGAATCAGTAGGTACAAAATCTGCAAACCCAGAATTAATTGAATAAAAAAAACTCAATTCTAAATGAGTCTGGAATAATACGAAATTGTTTTGTAAAAATCCTGTATTAATCCCCAACAATCGGTAAAAAAAAACTTAATCCAAAATGAGTCACGAGAAATACGGAATTTTTTTTTGTATGAAATCAATAAATAGACTACAGAAAAATCCGAATCCGAAATAATCTGAAATCTGTATTGAATCCAACAATTCGGATTTAATCGATTAAAAAATCATAGTACAAAAAGAATTTAAAATAATTCAGAACTCTTATATAAAAAATTCGAAATTAATCAGCAACATTCTGCAGTTACTCTGCTCAAAAATCTTAATCTGTATTGAGTTAAAAAGTTAAATTTATCATAATCTGAATTCAGCTCGCAGTAGTCAAGATTATTTCCGGTCAATTATTTGAATCCAAAATTATTTCAGAGTTTTTATCTGCAAAATCCGCAAACAGAAACAATTCAAAATTATTCAAGTGAAAAATTTTAATGCCAAATCTGTATTTAAAATTTTGGTACTAGTCTGCAGGAATCTCAATTTAGGCTGACGAAAAAGTGCCAATCTAATTGCTTTTATACAGATTTTTAATTATTTCGGATTCAGATTTTTGTGCGGAGTGTTTGCTGATTTTTTTACATACAAATTCCGGATTTTTTTAAACTTATTTTAGATTTAGTTTGAACAGAGTAAATCCGTATACAAATTTTGCATTATTATTAAGTTTTTTTATCGAACTAATTTTGTATTGTTGGAATCTGATTTCATAGAAATTTAAAACAATTCCAGACTAATCTTAGATTTACGTTTTCTTTTGGAGTGTTTTCATACAATAATATTTCGATTCAGTACGATTAGAAATCTGAATCCGAAGTGAGTCTAAAATAATCCATTGCATCATTTCTATTATCTTTTTTTTTTTAATTAAATAATTTCTTTCTTTACTTTGTCTCAATGACCAATGAACACATCAATTAAAATTCTATAATTAATCCAAAATAGTTCATAGTTAAATTCGAAATTAGTTTATGAAAGAAGTACAAACTGTTGTGCACTAAATGCAGTTTCTTTACTTGTAGATTTTTGAATATTTCAGACTCTTTTCGAATTCAGATTTTAGTGCGGATTTTTCGGGACATTTTTCGAATTAGGATAATTAAAAAAAAAAAATTTTTAATTGAAAATCGTATTTTTCACATAGAGATTTGCGTACTGTTTGTATTGTTATTCGAACTCATTTTGGATTAAGTTTATTATGCTATCTAAATTCGGATTGTTAGAAACTGATTGCAGACTGATTTTATAGAAATTCCACACTGATTTTGAATTTGTTTTTTCGTCCTTACTGATTGGGGATTAAATCAGTAAAGTGAATCATTTTCGAATTGATTTCATACAATTTCAAATTTGTTAGAAATTAATCTGGTATCAGTCGAAAACAGGCCAGTTTATTGTCATTTAAAATTAAACCTGTGACTGACTTCAGCACGGTGCACCAGAAAATGGATTAAATAAAAATGAATTGGCACTTAAAAATTCTTTTTGATTATGATTCTTAGATGAATAAAAAACATTTCTCAATAGTTTTTAAAATCAGTTTACGTTCCCGATTTAAATAAAATTGAGTTTTTATATAAACACAGTGTTTTATGGGGAATCAGAATTTATTTAATCTAATAAATACTGTAATAAATTATAAAATAATTACTTATTTTCAATTTTACATATAAATAACACTGGTCGACAAAATTTAGGTTTTTTTTTGCCACAAGAGTAAACGATGGTGATTCTTATAGGATTTTTGACGTAGATTACGAATCTGTAAATGAAATTGTCCCATCACGTCTCAATTTTGTGAAAAACTGTCTCAAAGTGTCAAAAAATCGCATTTTTGGCACTTTTTGAAGCACTATAAAAAAAGAACGCGACGTGATAAACGGCTCAAATATGGCTTAAATAAGAACTAGTACCCTCAACTTTAACCTCCAGAATCAAAAAACCATGCACCAATAACTCAAAATTGTGGGCAACATTTTTTTACCGCGTGCGCGTCCAGCAGATATTGTTACCACGATAAAATGAAATAAATTGCTGAAAACGTCGTCAAAAACACAAGATCGATTTAAATTAACTTCAAACTGGTTACTCGGGGATTTTCGGGGTCGCTGATTACGAATCTGATGTTAGTTTTTAAAAATCCAATATGGCGGATCCAATATGGCGGACGATTTTTGGAATAACTTAACATATTAGTTTGAAAATCGTTACTCGGGGGTTTTCGGGGTCGCTGATTACGTATCTGATGTTAGTTTTTAAAAATCCAATATGGCGGATCCAATATGGCGGACAATTTTTGGATTAACTTAACATATTAGTCTGAAAATCGTTACTCGGGGGTTTTCGGGGTCGCTGATTACGAATCTGATGTTAGTTTTTAAAAATCCAATATGGCGGATCCAATATGGCGGACGATTTTTGGATTAACTTAACATATTAGTCTGAAAATCGTTACTCGGGGGTTTTCGGGGTCGCTGATTACAAATCTGATGTTAGTTTTTAAAAATCCAATATGGCGGATCCAATATGGCGGACGATTTTTGGAATAACTTAACATATTAGTCTGAAAATCGTTACTCGGGGGTTTTCGGGGTCGCTGATTACGAATCTGATGTTAGTTTTTAAAAATCCAATATGGCGGATCCAATATGGCGGACGATTTTTGGAATAACTTAACATATTAGTCTGAAAATCGTTACTCGGGGGTTTTCGGGGTCGCTGATTACGAATCTGATGTTAGTTTTTAAAAATCCAATATGGCGGATCCAATATGGCGGACGATTTTTGGAATAACTTAACATATTAGTCTGAAAATCGTTACTCGGGGGTTTTCGGGGTCGCTGATTACGAATCTGATGTTAGTTTTTAAAAATCCAATATGGCGGATCCAATATGGCGGACGATTTTTGGAATAACTTAACATATTAGTCTGAAAATCGTTACTCGGGGGTTTTCGGGGTCGCTGATTACGAATCTGATGTTAGTTTTTTAAAATCCAATATGGCGGATCCAATATGGCGGACGATTTTTGGAATAACTTAACATATTAGTCTGAAAATCGTTACGCGGGGGTTTTCGGGGTTGTTGATTACGAATCTGATGCTTAAAGATTTTATGGTTTTTTATTAAATTGAGTATATAAAAAGTTTTGAGATTGCAAATTATTAATTTGATTTAAAAATTTTTAAATACAAGATAGCGAATCGAATTTGGCGAGCGAATTTTTAAATAGTTCTTGATTTTCGTAGACTTTAGTAATTTTAGTAATTATTTTCATGCCTCCACGTCATTTATAAGAGGATATAGTTTTTTTTAATAAAAAATGGTTACTAGGTTTAAAATAAATTTAATTAATTTTTGTTATATTGTCAAACAGATTTAATTTTAATTCATAGGATACAGTTTTTTGGGAGAATTTATATTTTTAGTTTGAATATATATTTTATATTTGTTTCAAATTTATGTTTTCCAGTTAAATAAATTTTTCTCGAACACATTTTTTGTTTCAATGAAGTACGTTGTTCATTGAATTATAAATATCATCTGAAAAAATTATATTGTTAAATTTAGCTTACAATTTTCTCCAATTAAATAAAATCATGTAACTTAAAAATGAGAGTATCTACCTTTTAATTACAATCATTCTAAGATTTTCTTGAATACTCTGCATCAGGGAGGTCACGCTTTAATGTCCAACAGTAATCAGCAAGCATATTAGGACTGGATTTTCCTTTGTATCTTTTCTCCATACTTGCAATGTCTTGATGGAACCTTTCCCCGTGCTCATCACTGACTGCGCCTAGATTTTCTGGAAAAA